GAAAATATATATTTCAATTCTGCTCAAGCGTAAAGCTGTTGCGCTTATGCTAATTAATAATGTTCCTAAATTATCTATGCGTATGCAGTCAAGGCTTTATGCAAGAGATAAAAGATTTCAAACGTGAGAAACGCCTTTAGTATATGACCCACATAAAAGAAATATTTCAGCAAAGATTATACTGCACATGTTGATAGATTTAGAAGCCGTTGTTGACGTCATTGGGCTCCCTATAAACTGTATTACATGTAGGCTTGTATGAAAAACTCACATTTATTCTATTAGGTAATGGTATCCAATAGTATGAAATAGCAATATCATAATACTGGATTTCATCTTTCATCTTCTTTTATTTATTTCATTTAGGACTACCAACATGACAAAAAGTAGGAAATTTGTTTTAAGCTAACAATAGCTAAGCTATATACTAAGCTAGCTCGAGCCGTCCGGGCGCTCGCCTTTAATTAAATATACTCGAGCAACCTGAGTTCGATCCCCGGTGCCGGCACTAAAGAAGTTTTTAACTTTAAGTGCTGACTTATCACGTGCTCAGTGATGAAGGAAAACATCGTGAGGAAACCTGAATATTTTCGAAATAATAACAAAAAATATATATATTTCGAAGATAAGTCAAGTCCGCCAATCCGCAGTGGGGCCCTGTGGTGGACTATGCCCTAATACCCTCTGTACAGAGGAGGCCCTTGCCCAGCAGTAGGACATGTATAGGGTGTTACTTTACTGTACTTTACTTTAACAATAGCTATACTTAGGTAACCACGACATGCTAAAGAGACACTAAGCATTTTAAAAATTAAAACAAACAATATTCTTATAATGGAATATAAAAATATATTAAAAAAGTGTAATTGTACAATAATAAAAATTTCATATAAATTAAATTTGAAAGAATAAATATTCCAAAAGGAAACAGAGTTATATATTACAATATACGCACTTAAACACACAAAATAAAAAATTGATACTTAAACGTAATAAATAACGGATTAATCTATACTATCTATTACTATAATAAAAGAGTAGAATCGGCGTGTCTGTACATTGAATATATTTATGAAAAAATGAAAAAGGGTATCATAAAAAGAGTTATAGGAAACATAAAAACCATTTTTTGGATTTCTGTCTGTCTGTCTGTCTGTCTGTTAGCGATAAACTTGAAAAGTACTTATCGACTTTTGATGCAGTTTTCACTGGTTACTTAAACGAAGCTTGGGGCAACATCTAGGCTTTGTTTCATCTCAATCGGTTTACTTAAACGGGAGATATGGGAGTTCTAAGATTAAAGCAGTGCAGTCGCAAACAGTTAGTTATCACAGTTATCCAACTACTTGTCACAGAATATATCAATTCCAGGTTTTGAAGGAAAAAATCACCGGAAATGTCAGACATAATGATAGTTTTTATAACAGGATGTCAAATGTCTTGAGATAGTATGTATAAACAACGCCTATTGGGATCCGAGCATCGACAGCGCTTATTTGGGGTAAAAGGTTTGTCTCAGTGGCAGTTCTTCTTTCTTTTATAAAAGAAAGAGGGAAGACTTATACTGGTTACCTGATCCTAATGATTGTACAAAAATAACGTTTTATATAACAACGATTTCCGGCCGGTGAATCTAACACTTGAGATAAGTAGGTACATCGATCGCCCACGCGGCAAATGAGTAATACACCAGCAATTAATGTTTGTTATAATTCAGTGACATAATTAAATGAATACTACGCTATCATTATTATATTATTCTTGTTTCAAATATTTAATTAATATTCAATTATTTCTCTCACATTGTAGAATATCGGGAAGTGGTAATCACCTACCATCAGGTTAACTTTTGACATAAACTGTCTTATTGAAAGATATAAAAAAAATATCAGCAGCCTAAGTGTTAAAATTCTGAACCCCAACCTCATAAAAGCTATTCTAGGTAAGCAGTTTTTCGTCGAAGAAGAGCTGAAGGCGGCAATTGATGAATATTTTTCAGTCAAGAAAAATATTTTAGAGGTTATTGAACAGTTACTTCCCCGCTCATAGAAGTGTTTTGAGGTGACGCGGGACTACGCTGAAAATGAATGAAATGTAAATTTCATTCGGAATTTTCTGCTTATTCTTCCATGCATACACCGAGAATAAATTGAACGCCCCTCGTACTACACATGGTCTTATTAAAGACTATCTACGGATTTTATCACGTATGATTTTGTTTTCAAATCCCCGACGATATAATCGGTGGTAGAGCAACGCAGCAGCGTCAGCTGTTGCACGAATGGGCAGGCTCGTCCGGGTAAGTACCACGACCTCACAGAAGACCGGCGTAAAGTGGAAGTATAATACTTTCGCGTTTCGTCTGGTGAGTGAGGTAGCCGAAGCCCAATTTCCAAAAAGGTTGTCAACGCATCTGCAAACCCTCGGGTGTAGCAGATGTCCATGGGCGGCGGTATTCACTTAACATCAGGTGAACCGTCTGCTCGTTTGGCAACTTTTCATATAAAAAAAGCGTGTGTAGTATAATAGATCAAGCAATGACATTTCAACAGCCATGCGTTTTTCTGTAAACAAAATGAAACTGATGTGTTTTGTCATAAACTAGGATAGTGGAGCATGACAATATCGTCGCAGTGTAACGCACTCCGGAAGCTGCACAGATTGCCATCGTCCTAGACCCCCTTTATTAGGAACAAATTATGTGCAAGGAGGGCTACGATTTTTCGTGGTTTTGCTAAACGAAAATCCGTTGGGAATTAAAGGACCCAGACCTGAATGATACTCCTAACAATCACACAGATGACTGGGAAAAGCATTTTATTCTATGCTACTAATTTATTTCTGTTCTATTAATTAATCACGAGTCTTTTTAATGTAAGGGTTTATCTGATAGATACGTTAATTTACGTGTGAGAAAGCTCAAAGTCGCTCAGAGATCTATGGAGCGACTATACTCCGTATTTCTCTGTCTTATAGAATTCGAAATTAAAACATTCGCAGTAGAACTCAGGTAACCGTCATAGCTCAGAGGCTTAGTAAGCTGACAAGGCCTCCTGCCTTTTTATTGCTCGAAAAACCGATACTTCGTGGCCATCTCTGGGGGAGGCATTCAGCAGTGGATTCAAACAAGCTGAAATGATGATGATACGTTAATTTCACTTTTTTACTTCAACTTTTAAATTCATTTCATTAGCATGGTTATTCTATACTACAATTTAAACGTGCGATTTGAGTTTTAATCCTAATTATATATCCTATATACTTTTAACTATTATAAATATTTTGTTTTATATAGTAAATTTAAATATCCTTTTACCATATACTCGGCACTGAAGGGAAAAGTATTGAGAAAATCAGCATAATTAAATAGCAGAAAATAGACAAAAAATTGTTCTTTGTATAATATTGTTCTAATATGCAATGCATCACGTGACAGACTTTTAAGCTTCTGTACAAGAAAACCGTTGCCCTGCAGCTGAACATATGTTTACGGAACGTTACTACATTACACACATCGATATCCATTTTAGAATAGGTTACAACCATATGTTGTATTCGCGCAAATACAGTAACTCATCACAAATTTAATTAATCACATATTTTCGTAAATAGAAATTTTATATAAATTAAAACACAATTTATGACTATCTAATAGAGTAATTTCAATTTAAATTTATAAAAATGCCATCCCTAACTCCATCGTATATCTTGTTATCAAACATCTCGAAAATGATGATGGAACGACTCCCTGACAGCTAAAATTATTTAATCTGTATAATCTGGTAAAACGCGCGCTGCATAGACTATAAATAAACCAGTCTGTTTGTATTTATACGGAGTACACTAACCCAGTTACCTAATTTTAAAATCACTGTGAAGAGCCATTGTTACTTAAATTTTATATGAACTCAAAATTGTAAATGCTTTTTTACTCTGCCCAGTGTTCGTCTTACATGAAGACAGGGACTTTTTATTACCTGCTTTTCTTCTATTAGTGCCCTTGCAGTAGCCTAGGTCTTTAATTAAATGTTTATGGACCGAATTCTGGCTTTATCGTACGTCGTTGACCAGCCAGGGCCAAGCTTCGTGCTTTAAACGCAATGTAATCGAACAGTTTTCTTAAAATATTACTCAACCAACACAGCTTGACGGCGATATCCCGTACTCCGCAATTACAACTACATTCATTATCCCATTCAGCATTTTTATTTCGGTCACTTGTACGGTACTTGCGTGTCGTTGCCCAAATCTCACTCATTTTTTACGATGACATTTTATATATAGACCCATTACACAACGTTGCACTAAAAAATGCGCAAGCTATCGTAAATACTACTAACACACAAACATTAAAGCCATCATACGCTACACCCGTTATTAGAAAGAACTGCATAAACATGTTTTAGCAGTTTTATTCTTAATTTATTAAAATCTGGTACGGTCGTAGCTGTGCAACTGTAACAGAAATGGAATCCTTTACCCCTATGCATTCTACGAGCGTCTGTTTTCGTTTAAAAAATTAGGTAATATTACTTTAAACTCCGCTTGAATACTTCCCTTATTTTTCTTTCAGTCTAGTTTAGTGCTTGAATAAATTTATGTACACCTCTCTCTACTCCCTTCTTTAAGGTAATTAAAACATCCTTCAAAAATTATGATCATAATGGTTTTCTTGAAAATTGCTTTCAGAGCGATAAAACTACACTGTTTTGTATTTTGTACTTATTCCTATATTTGATGTACATTAAAGAACGCATTGATTATTTGATGAAGTAGTCACGGTCAAATAATTCGCTTAAATTTTCCGAAAAAAAAAAAACAGTGACAAAGCATCCATACTTCTACAAACATCTTAATTTGTATACGAGTCGAGTTTCAGTAATTTTCTTAGTTAGTTTACACACAAATAAATAAAAACAACATCGTCCCATTACAAAAATCTTTATTTCCCGCTAAATATCGGCACACTAAGACGAACCCGGCAGGCACAGGTCGGCTCAGCCGAGCGGCTTGAGCACGTTGATCTCGTTGCCGCGGAACGAGTACACGTTGAAGTCGCCGATCTTGCGGCCGTCGGTGTACAGGTAGAGCTTGAGGCAGGTGTCGCAGAAGAAGGCGGGGTCGAAGGGCACCCGCGCGCAGCCCGTGGCCAGCCACTTGGCGCCGAACTCTGCGCACGTGGTGCAGTACACGGTCTGGTTCTGCAGCACGCACGTGTGCCGCGGGTAGAGGGCCAGGTTCATGGGCTCGCCCGGGCCCAGCAGCCGCACCTCGGAGAACGTGAACAGGTGCTCGCAGTTGCCCTGGTGCACGTACACCTGCGCACGAGCCGAGCGACGACTGCGAGACTACTAGCCTATGTACGTTCGACGACTCAGTGGCGCAGTTGCCGCCGAGGTATCGGCTTCGAGTCCCGCGCGAGACAACTGCTTGTGTGACCCACAGATAACGAACTCGTGTAGTTAGACAGGCTAATACAGTAACGGGCAATTTCAAGTTTTCGAAAGGAAGACTACAAAGGAAGTCGACTTTCTCGTATGTTGCCTCGGTGCTCCAAGCCACACGACATACCTAACTAAAAAACTGCCATGACGTATTCAGATTGACATCTACGAAAGCGTATTTAAGACACAAATCGAGCCAACAAAATTTTTCGAAGAATCTTCTTTTGCGAACACGTCGGACGTCGCTTTGTTTGGGAACCGCTCGCCCCACTCTCCCTGCAGAGAAAGAGACCCACCTCGGGGTGGCCCAGCTTGACGAGCAGCTCGTCGAGCCGCACGCCGTTCATCCTGCGCTTGGGGAAGTCGCCGAGGCCGCGGCGGCGCGCCCACTCGCGGATGGGCGCGCTGATGTCCTTGCAGCGCGGGCTCTCGTCCACGTAGAACACGTTGTTGATGAACATGAAGCCGGAGGGGAACAGGTCCTGCCACACGCGACCACCGCACACCCTTACAACCGCCACGCACTCCATTCAAGCTTAACACAAGCGAGTTAATCGGGCTGGTGTTAAGCTTTTGACCGTCATGTAGGATGACGTAGGCGCGATAACGCCATATTATCAGAGCCGATATAGGCCACATTTCGCGGGGTGCACCTGCCCGCCCTTTAGGCCAGGGACAGCCCTGTACTCTCGGGATCGTAGAATAGGGCTAACGTATCGCTTGCTGTTGTAAAAGGCTTAAAGGGGACACTTTGTTCGGGGCCGATCGAAGTTGGGGGAACTGATTGTTCAGTGGACCTGCGCCGTCCTGTTCCCGTAGGGAATCTGAGAAGGTTTGCATTTCCGCGTGGTTAATCCGGGAGTTTTCACAGGAAGATACCGAAGTACTGAAACCTGGTCAATATGTACTAAATATTGAGGGCGTGAATTTTTTTTATGTGAGAAGAATGCAAGCGAGCTTCCGGTACACCTGATGTTAATTGATATCAGCCGCCCATGGAAATTTGTAACACCCGTAAAGGACAATGCCAGATTCTGCCTCACCAATTTGCATCGTTTACACAAAATGTAAATATTCAAAAATTATGTAATGAATATTATATAACTATTTGAAATTGAATAAATAATATAAAACTTGCGGATAAAAAAACTTAAAAAAAAGTAATTTAACCATATTCGTCGACTTCCCTATTTTTCGGGCGGCAATTTGCATTACTTTCTACGCATAAACGATCAATAAAAAGAAGTTATTGCTTTGTAGTAAGTAGATCAAAAAAGAAAAAAAACAACACTATTGAATATGTCATAATAAGTGTTTAAATTCATTATAATATGTAGTTATCGTAAATCATACAAAAATATTTTAATAATTATTGTTCTGTTGTATTGCAAATATAACTTCGCTTCTTGGAATTGTGAAACGAAACGTCATAATCATAAATGTCAACTCCATCATGTCTTTGTTTTTGTTATTGTTCCGCGATTGTACGTCGGTGATTTGTACGGCGTTGACTGTTAACCATGCTTTTTTGAATGTTTTTGATTTTACTTACCGAAGACTTTTGCTATACCTTACGGATACGATCTCGCCTATTCGTCAACTTTTGCGCTACTTTCCACGGATTCTGATAATTTCCTGCGATTTGCATAACAATGTTGAGGTGTATTAATTGTCACCTGAACATAAACAGGATGCTAAGACATGCTGTGTATTCCTTAGAGTTTATAATGCAAACTCTGCTCTCAACATGAACAACGTTGCAATAGGTATGTTTGTTTAAGTTATAATTATTTATAGTTAACTTTGTACCACGATATAACTAGTATTATCTTTACATAAAATAAAACAAAATAATGTATCTACTACGGAATTGTCGTAAAAAAGCTGTTATGGGTCAACTAGTAATAGATAGGGTAGCAAATCAATTAATGTTTGTTTATTTATCTTTTAGCTTCCACCAGAAGCTGTAATCTGTCAACAGTGCTTCTTGCAGCTAAGTGTACACATCAACATTACATTGTAGAAATGGAAATATGAATGCAGAAAGAGAACTTGGTCGCATGTTTGTGTAGGATGTGGCAGATCTCTCTTGGAAACAATAAGACATGTGATATCACTTACTTGAATAATCCATTAATAACTTAAGCCAATAATCCATTAATAACCATTATACTTTCATGGGATTCACAAAATGAGGTCAGTATTTTATTTAACCAACAAAAATAGCACTGAGTCCGCCATAACTATCATTGATTGTGTCTTCTATTTTTTAAAGATACTAAAAATATTTTCAAACAATTAATATTCTTCTTTTCCCTCCAACTGAGTGTAAGGCTTGTTGCTAGGTTAAATCAAATTTGAGTGTATGTAAGAATGTAAGTTCATCATATTTGGAGTGTGTAAAGCTGTAGGTTCTCTGCTTGTAATATGCTCCATCATTATCAAACAACCTATCACCTTCCCACAAACACATGCTGGTAAAGTGCAGATTTGGAGACTTCACTCACCTTTGAAACATTATAGAAAACTCTTAGTTTCCTCACAATGTTTTCTTTCACAATAAAAACTAGTGATAGGTACTTAATGAATTAAAATGCATTTAATGCTGCTATAAAGTCAGAGGCTATTGCTCTAATAGGTAGCATTAGTGTAGTTTCAGTCAGAAAGACAATGTTTTAATTCAAATGTTTCATTTTATTACCAACAGGTGATTTCAAGAGATGCAATTGCTTGCCATCTGTGTTGGATGCGTGTTAATCGCCTGTCATACTATCACATGATGCTTTAAGAGTCAAGCAGAGACAGATCACTATTGTGATCTTCTTACCAGGAACACCTCCCCCACTACTACCTCCACCACCATCTCCAACTCAAGATCAAGAGGTTCCAATGGTATTTAACAACGTATTTATTTTTCTGCCCTATTATAAACATGCAGTGAATACTTCAAGACATTGTATTTTTCAAAGCTGTGCAAATTAATCTGGGCACCTAATTCCTTTGTTTTTAAAGATCATGCTTCTCAAGCAATATCACATATATGTGCCAGTGAGTACATGTGTCTGTGAATTACATTTATATGCCAATTTATGGGCTACATTGAATGATAACAGCAATTTAACTAACAGCTTTACAGCTAAACAAATAGAGGATTTAATTCGAATCTTAGAAAGACATGCAGAATTATTTGATTTTGAAAATGTAAATATATTATTATATTAGGACAAATTTTTCACACAAATGAAAATGTAAATGAGATGCCTGGCCACATTTATGTAAACTATAAGTTTATTTCTGGTAAAAGTAGCTACTTAATCTAATTGCTCCAAGAGAAATGCCAGCTATAGCTATTTGTGACGGCACATACATTTTTATTCAAAAAAAGTAGCTACGTTTACCAGAAAAAAACTTATAGTTTACATAAATATAATAATTTAATAAAGTCTTTTCTCATTGTTGCCTATGATGGTTATATTATTGATATGTCAGGCCCATATGCAGCAACACAAACTGATGCTGAAATAATGCAGAAATTATTTGAAAATGAAAATGAGGTAATTTTTTTAGAGAAAATGATATTTTTATATTAGATAGGGGTTTTAGAGTTAGCATAACGGCCTTAGAATCTTATGGCTATAAAGTAATTAAGCCTGAATCAGTGGATGAAGGTGAAACACAATTAACCACATTACAGGCAAACAAAAGCCGCTATGTAACAGTATGCAGATCGGTTGTTGAGGTGGTGAATGGCCGATTAAAACATTATTTTAAGTTATTTAGGCAAGATTGTTTAATAGGGCTTCTTTGTATTTAATGGATGATTTATTAATTGTAGCGGCTTTGATTAACTGTTTTCATCCATTGATTCAGGATCGACCAGATGCACACCAAATCATATCAAGAGCATTACATTACTATAATGAGACGAATCAGTTAGCACAATTCATCCAAGAATTTAATTTAAATAGACGAAGAACCATCTTTACAAGGATTGATGGAAATCTACCACAACTGCAGCATTTTCCCATGTTTAGTTTAAGTGAATTAACACTTATAGCCTTAGGGCCATATCAAATTAAACAGGCCCGTTCTTACTATGGGGAGCATATAAGGGAACATGGTCTCTATTTAATAGAGGTGAGTTCAGAAGTGGAGCACTCACAAGAAATGACTAATAGTATTGGGGGTAACTATTCATTTTTAATAAGGGGGCGAGTTAAGTCGAGGCATATTCGCCAAAGGCATTATTTCACTTATATTTTATTCGACAGAGAGCCTAGCAGTATCCATGCGTTTGACCAGATATTGGGATACTGCTGCAGTTGTGTTGTAGGCAATAGAACCTTCGGCTGTTGTTGTCATGTAATGACGCTTATATGGTACCTGGGTTGGGCTCGTCATCAAAATGATATTGATGTTCCAGCAGCATTTCTCGATAACGTATTATTTACTTTTGGAGATGAATAAATCAATAATTACTAAGGGGTTGTTTTATTTCCAATCAGTCCTAACAGTCTACCATATCGTTAAAGACGATAGAACAAGGTTTAGTAATACAGTTAAGAATTAAGATAGATCTTAAGCTACGCCATCGAGATACGCAACACGCTGTGTTGCGCGTCGCTTCATCGACTATGAGTGTAAGTGATATATGAGTGTTAGTATGGTTAATGTGTCGTGCATCGCGGTCGCTCATTTCATATACTCTCCATACAAAAAAGCCTGCACGTATCGTGGTCACGTAGTTCATTCAGCTTTGAGTATCCTACTTCATTTCATAGACATGGTTTTGGCAATAACTTTTAACAATATAGCATTTCTTTTTATCAGTTTTACCATTATAAAAGTATATAACCTCAAATAATTTTGAAAATTCAACTCAGATTTAAAACGAAACCGCAAGTTTTAGGGACGTATGTTTAAATGTTAAGTGATCAGTTATAAATCAGCAATAAAATGCCGCATTAAGCATGCTTGTAAACGAATTTTAATAAGTGGGGCATAGCTCCATACATTTTCTGGCATTGTCATTTGCATATGTGTTGCTGTTCAATAAAGTGGGCCCCGGTCACCTCATTTACCAGACGAAACGCAAAGTATAAGACTTTACGTCGGTCCTCTGTGAGGTCATGGTATTTCCCCGGATGGATCTGCCCATTCGTGCAATATCGAAGACAGAGGAAAACAAAGAGAGGGAGAGTGAAGATGAAATTGGAATTGGCTACCTCCCTGGTAGCAAAAGAGAGGGGATGAGACAGAGAGTCGAGGCGCAGGTCGGCGTCGTTGGGGCACACCACGCGGTCGCGCAGCGCGAGAGAGAGCGAGAGGGGAGAGGGCGAGAAAGAGAGAGGGGCACCTTGGAGGTGGTCTCGGGCGCGTCGTGCGGCGCGGGCGAGACGTCGAGGCGCAGGTCGGCGTCGTTGGGGCACACCACGCGGTCGCGCAGCTCCTGCAGCTCCCAGCACCCCGGCGCCACCACGTCGCGGCTGAACACCGAGTGCCGCGAGTTCTGCGCACACCAACCACACACTTTACCACATACTAAACTCCCACTACGGCAGGGCCACGCAACAGTTCGCCGTTGCACGAATGCACAGGTCGGTCCGGAGAAGCACGCGACCTCACAGAACACCGGCGTGAAGTGGAAGTCTTACACTTCTGCGTTTCATCTGGTGACTGAGGTAGCCTGCAACGCATCTGGGACACTATTGGTATTGCGAATGTCCATGGACAGCGGTTATCACTTACCGTCAGTTGAACCGCCAACTCACTAGCCACCATCTCATATAAAAAAATATTGACTATTTTCCAACTTGAAAATGATTTTTTTTTCTTTTATAAAAAACATTGCCCTTACTTTGGAATAACATTATCCTGTGTTGAAAGGAAGTTTTTACAAACATAAATTTCACGCCGACAAACACCCAGATGAGGAACATCTGTGGGTCACACAAATAGTTGTCCCGTTTGGGAATCGAACCCACGACCCCCGACGCCGAAGCCGATAACCTTGGCGACTGCTCCACGGAGCCATCAAAAATTCGGAGATTTCATTGCACAGATGGCGTACTGTATGAATTGGTTACCTTTCCAATTGAAAAACACCAAATAGTTATTCCGAGCCTTGGCATGCCATTAATTTCATGTTTATGAAAAAGTCCACAGTTCACAGAGCGGAAAAGTTTTACAAATATTATGTTTACTACTTACATGTCTTTCTTTACCATGAAAAAATGGTCTATAAAAGCGTATTCTAAACAACAAGTCCTTTCCGGGTTCTAATGGAACGTCTTTTATCACTTTTGAATCAGATTTTTTTTTTGCAATATAAGAATCCTGAAATTCGTGAGTCTTAATTAAAGTAAATATCTATTTTTTGATTTCTTATCAGTTAATCAGAGAAGCTCTCAAAAATCTCAATAGTTATTTAGCAATCTATTCAATATAGTTCATTTATTTATATATTTATAAGTTTATTTTTAGTTCTATTAACATTTCTAACTTTTATAATTTTATTTTATTAATATTTATAAATAAATAATTACTTAAAAAATCAATTACCTACAAAAAATAATTTGAATACCTCAAGTGAAAGTTGTAATATTCGCATCCCCCTGTACTTCAATTTCTTTACATACAAACCCCCTTTATCTCTTTCCATCCGCAGTTTGTATTTTTTTATGATATTAAGATGGTCCCCATCATTATTTATTTCAGTTTTCTTCTTAATAGGTAGAATCCCAAATGTAGGTACATTTGTTGGCATTGTTAATTCTTTGCCTGTTACTAAGTGTGCTGGGCTGCAAGAAAATTAAAAACTTAAAGTAGTGATATCAGTATATATTGCTAAATATAAAACATTTATTTCAAATACAGAAAAAATAACTTAAATTTCTGATATAAATTGATTGAAATAAATTAACAGACATTTTAAACAATATAGTATTACACTAATATCACTAAACAATATAGTATAATGCAGTGTAAAAAGGAAGCATAATTTTTATTACTTCAATTAGATAATACTTATGATCAGAAAACTACAGCTTTGAAATTAAAAAAGCACTATGTATTGCTACCTGCAGTATTTTGATAGTTTATCAAAATCATCATCACTTAAATCACACCCAACATATTCCCTTATTTTGTTATTTTGAATTGTTCCAAGTTAGCCTTAGTTTTGGGTTTCCCATAAATAGGGAGATAACTAAAGGCTTCTGAAAGATTTTTTGATATAATAGGAGGTGTGACCACATTGCCTTTAACTGGGTAGAACTGAGGGCCAGTGTCTTCTGCGTAGATCTTAATATTTCCGAATTTAAAAGCTTCTGGATCTACATACTCTGAGCACACACTCGATGGTCCACCAATCATACTACTTTCAGCACTGCATGAAATATCTCTTGGATCAACGATATTTGGTTTAGCAATTGGGTTAGGATCATTCTGACCTGAATCATCCTTTTTTTCGGAATTATTCTTTAATGCACTATTTCCTACTGAACAGCTGTTCATGGCAAAAACTATTACACCGCTGTTTTCAGTTGTCCTTAATGTTTGTTCTGTCTCCATTGTTATTGTTTTATTTATTGTCACAGAAAAATCAATAAATGATGGATTTGGATGTCACTGATCTGACAGACATACCTGGCCAGACTGGCCACAAACGGATAGGGTAGGGGAAGAGTTGTAATAATAATATTATTTTAGTTTTTTGTTACTTTACGTTAATTATTTGAAATGGTCTTCTATTTAAATTTTTTTCTTCCATCCCCGACTTAACATTGGCTTGGCAGAATTCTTCAAGTAGCCTTGTTGCAATAAGAAAAAAAAAGAAATGTCATGTTCTAAACTACCATTTGTCTATGGTCGAAAATACGGTCTAATTTTTTTTATTTATTTATTTTATAATTTATGTACACAGAATTATGACAGAAATGTAAATAGATGAAATTATTTGTACAAAGGCCCTGCTTATTTCATAAGAAATTTCTTCCAGCAGACCTGTGACTGGAAATTGGTTACAAATGGTAGTTAATTGCGTACATATATCAATTATAATACACGTAAATGCAATAATTATGAATATGATATCATCATTAAAATAAAATATATTAGTATATATAGTCGGAGATAGGTGGATCATATGGGACAACTCGTTGTCAGATCCCTCATTGTAATTTACTTGTTCGATTAAAATCAACAATAACGAATATAATTATTAGCCACACTGATGTAATTGAATGGAAACGTAGCAAGTTGGATACAGAAAGATGACCGCTCGCACCGCCGTCCCTTTTCTAAGAGGCGTGCCCGAGCACGTCCAGAACACAACCCCGTGTCCGATGTCAATTAACTTCCACAACTCATGACCGTCAAGTCCGCTCTCTCACTTCCTGTATCGACCTTACTCAAGCGCACTACTTGACGTTTCTGAGAGCTACGTAATAGATGGTGTTATAATCAAATCATAAATCATGTTGTAATCAAAAATTTATATATATATATATACAGCGTGTCGTTACCATCGCGACAATAAATGAACACACGTCTAACGCTACTTGCCAATAATCATAAAAAAATATTAACGTTAAACAAAATCCATAATTAAAAAAAAATTTTTTTCAAACAAACTAATCAAGTAAAAAAGAAACAAAATTTGTAACATGCTATACAACTCGCGCCACAGCGTCGCATTACAAGCCTCTCCTTCTAACAGTATGTTTTGTCTCTTTTAAATTCATTCAACCCATTCATATGCTTTGTGACCTTTACAAATGAACTTTACGTTACAGTTTTATACGTAAGGGTGTTCTAAAATTATTTGTTTTGGAAAATTTAATAACTCGGTAAATATTGATGTTTAAATTAAAATAAAATTGTATTAAACATTTACATTCAAATGTTTAATACAATTTTAAAAAGTTATTATCTATATCTGTGGTCATTTATTGTCGCGGTGGTAACGACACGCTGTATACATACATATAAATTTTTTGTTGTAAGATTCCACGCCGAGCGCGCAACTTCCCCAATCCGTTATCATAAGTGAAGCCACTTACAAGCCCCTACCACTAGGTACGTTCCGCCACAGCTCGCAAGCACACCAACTCACACCGCACTCGCTGGCGAGGGTGGCAAATATATACTAGGTTCCACCACGTACCTGGCAGGTTCCCCCCAATTAATGATAAAAGCGTTGCTATAATTTCTTCCGCCACTTCTTCTCCCAGTGCCAACGCTTTCTGAAGTGGTAGTAATGTTAGATCTAGAAATTCTCCCATTCAGATAATAGCTACGGATCGTGCCGAGGTCCAGCCCTCTCGGGCACCCTCGAATCAGAATGCTAAACGCGAATGGAGTAACATCCCAAGCCGAGTCCCCCCCAAGGGGGCCCTTCAGCCCAGTTACTCCATAGAGCGTCCACTAAAGCGCCCTAAGAGCTTGGCGGCCTTCCAAACTGGTAATGTTAGTAATAGCGTGATGGCCCGAGCCGAGGCTCCCACCGGAGGCCTTAAGCTTAAGCACCATAACGCGTAATAATAATACGCCGCGGTTCAGGCTAGGCGCCCCGTCCGCATGGCCACCTAAAGTCCTTCGGAACTGCAAATTCCCCTAAGGCCAGCAGTGGCTTATCCAGCCCAAAAAAAAGCGCGCAATTAATTAATAATTAACAATATTGAGAGATTTGAGGGATACCAGAAGAATGGAAAAAATAATTACTAAAATTGTTTTCAGATAAGAACTGGTGAAACTTTTATAATTGCAAAAAATGTTAGAGAGAATGAAATCACTATGTTATTATATGATATTTAGTGGGGCTGTCATGGTTAAGACATATATTTCAGTATATATATCTTATCTATGACACTGCCCAATTTTCAACCGCCCCGGTTTCTTTATATATATATCGGTTATAGATGAAAAAAGTCTGGCCTCACGATAAACTGTGTCAATAAACAAATTATATTATAATACATTTTTTTTTCAAGGAAATGTATTATTCTCCTCGATCTCCTAAGGTTTAAAAATTGTCAATGTCAATTGTCAATCACAGTGAACGGTGTTGTCAATTTTTCATTTCAGTATCCGTCAATATCGTAAATGTTGTGATTGTTTTAACTTAAAATAATAATAATAATAAAAAAGTTTTAGCAGTCCATACTCCATATCAAAATGCTTACTTTATGGAACTTATTTGAAGCTTCTTTGCTTTGTCTCAATGCAGTTTGTGTGCTCCATGAAGAAAGATTTATGCAAAAGAGTAAGTAAGAAGCGTCGGTTAGAAATTACTTTATACGCAAACTGTAACTATAGATTTGTCGATCCTCTTTTTATATCCATGTAACAAGACTATGGAGCTTATAGATATAAAGTAGCAAAATAGTATCTCGGATCTGATCGATTTAACTCTATAATATATCGAATTGTCGTCCAAACATTGTGGTTTACACAGAATGCAATGCGAGACATATGTATGATCTGGGTGGAACTTTAGTTTGTTTATGTTACAAATTAATGTAAACAAAATGTTAGTACCTTACATCTTATTATAGCTCTATCTCTGTTTTCTGTCATTAGTAGCGACTTGTATCCTCAGAACTGCTCTTTACATCTGCTAATTTTAACACTATTTGAGAGTCGAAACTTACTATATTCACATCACCTTTCAAAATAGATTTTTCTCGAAAGCCTAAAACTTAGATTGGTGTATTTAATAAACTTCACAGATGTCTACTTATATACCTTCTAAATATTTGGACACTTTTTCAGTTAAAAACACATGTAATATACTACTTAACCTCTAGTTTCCGTAGTTCTGACTATGGCAATGGATATTCCATCATATTACTAACAATTTACTTACTGGGTACAAAATTTTTCATGAATCCAATTATATTACTTACGGTGGTATGGCCACGCAGAAGCCTCGGCTGTTGCACGAATAGGCAGGCCCATCCGGGTAAGTACCACGACCTCACAGAAGACCAGCGTAAAGTGGAAGTATGACAAATACTTTCGCGTTTCGTCTGGTTAGTGAGGTAGCCGGAGCCCAATTTTCATAAGGTCGTCAACGCATCTGTTATCCTCGGGTGTGGCAGATGTCCATGGGTGGCGGTATTCACTTAACATCAGGTGACCTGTCTGCTCGTTTGACAACTTTTCGCATTAAAAAAAAAATATTTTTAGTTTTAAGTTAAGCTTTGTAATTTAATTAAGCTCCAATATAACTTTAAATTTACTAATGGTTGGTTCAATATTCTATCTATAATAAATAATATAACTAATATAGCTAATGTAGCTAGTAACTAAATCTATATAGTTACTAGCTATGACATTAGCTCCTTAATACATATTATGTCAAATTCTATCTTCAGTAACCAAACCTCTCTAGATACAATATTGAAATCGGCCATAAGTCAATTGTATATAGTTTTTATATTATTTATTTTCACAAAACTTTGACTCTTTAAAACAGGCAACTTCCAATGGATTTCATGCTGACTTGACTTGCTTTAAAAGTTATGTAGAGATAGTATTATATATTTTGTTTGTAGTCATTAAAAACAATAACTTTATGTAATTAGTTTCTATTTATTATTAGGATTTATTTATTAATTTAATCTGCCAACCTATTGTCAAAGGCCTCCTCAATCCTTTACCAAATTGTTCTTACTGTTTGTTACCCTTTTCCAGGCAAATCCTACAAGCTGTCAAACCCTCATTGATCCACCGTTTTAACTGTCCCTCTCTTAATAACCCTTCATATTATTTAATTGCAGAAGTAAAGCACATTGAGAAGGAAAGCAAAATCCCCAAGATTTTATTATATACAACATAAGATTTTTTATATCAGTTTCATGTTTGCTTTTATTACTGTTCATTACACATTTTAAATGTCATTCATCTAAAGGTTTTTGAGTAAAAAGAACTTAGAAAATTAAGTAAGTCATTGTTATAATATCTGATAGCAGATCAGTTTTTCATTAAAGACAAATCATTTAAAATCATCAAGGTTTTGTGTTTGCCAGCAAATTAGACTGAAATATAACTACAATTGCTGATGCTGAATATGATGTCTGAAGAAACCATATGTGACCACATAGTTGACTCAGTAGGAAGCAACAAAAAATGGAGGCATATTAGCCCTACTACCCACATCAACCATAGTTGAGGCTCACCAGTAATAATTAACATTGTTTTTTTACAGTGGGATGGGGTTCAAACGTCTCCAATCAAGGCTATGAAGACCAATCATCTGTAAAATTCCAAATTTTAAATCTGGTCAGATCTATAAGAACAGTTACACGAAGTAAGCACGGATGACATTGTTCTAATTGGAAAAATCTTTTTGAAGTTTCATAAACCAAGCTTTTTTTTTGTTTCAGTTCCTCTGATTATTTTAAATATACTCACCATAATATTTAAGTTACTGCTAGGATAGCAGCAGTAAATGAAACTTAGGAGGATTCATAAAATAAGTGAAAAAACAATTATAAGTGATGTAAAATTGTTATTTAAATAAAGTAAACAATTAACTTTTATATTTAATATTGTTTTCCTATTATATTATTAATTTTTATTTTAGCCCAATTTTCAATAGGTTGTCAACGCATCTGCAACTCTCGGGTGTCGCAGATGTCCATGTTCGGTGGTATTCACTTAACATCAGGTGAACCGTCTGCTCGTTTGGAAACTTTTCACATAAAAAAAATTATTAATTTTTATTTTAATTACACATTGTTAGTTATACTTTAAAGCAGATTGTTACTATTTAAATATTTTTCTGTCCATCATTGTTGATAATCGCAAACACAAAGTATCCATTAGGTGTGAGTCATGAGCTGTATAGATTTGGCAATAGGGAAATGTGTCCGAGCTCAGACATATTTCCCAATTAACACCTGTTAATCATAAAAATGGAAAAAAAATAATTTAAAGCACCAATTTTTGTGATATTACTGTAATTTGTTATTTTTGTAAATTTGTACTGTAAAACTTTTCATTATGATATAATATATATATCACTGAAATACTTATTGAATATATATATATCACTTCAGTGATATAGATAGTATACTCACATATAATGTATATATATCACTGAAATGCTTATTGTTAAAAGAATGGTGCTTATAATTTTTGTTTTAAACGTCAATCACTGAACCAAAGCTTTAAATGGAAATACATTCTTTTTACTTAAATTTAAAACAACAACATAGGAATTTGAATTGAGCTAAGTGTCATGACTGGGACCCACTCAACATAACTAAGTTTTGTTGTTTTAAGTAAAATTTAAACAAATGTAAATAAAACGAAAGGTTAAGATTTATCATTTTCTTTATTGACATAATATTTAGTACAGTACAACACAGGACAAAGAGTTTCGCTTTTCCAGGGGGTAAATAAGTGACCATTTATACAAGGGTTTAATTTTATAAAATTTAATGAATTAAAATTACGAAAAAGCTCCATTTCAAAAAGTGAAAAGAGTGGATGTACAATAAAAAACTCGGCACTTGATTTATGTATACTGTACCCATCAATATCCGATTACCTATAGGTAGGTATGGAAGGTTGGAAGAACTAATTCACCCGGGAATATAGATCTGTCAACGAAATATATCCTTAGACTAAAAAGTAAACTGCTCGCCGCGAGTGTCGCCTCGCTAGACGATAAAGGAACTAACTTCGTAACGTCAAATACTGTGACCCTATGAATATAAAAAAAAATCTTAAAACTAAAACATTCGTCCTTTAACATTTTCACGACTCAAACAGTCTGACTATCCCTGTCAATCTCACATAAAATATTTAAATATAAACTAATTACAATATTTAGAATATAGCCTAAACACTAAACACTACAATCTTGGACTAATTCTTGCACAGTTTTCTTGGACAGATCAATGCCACAAAAATAATTTTACTTTTTGTGTGACAAAAAATATTTTCATATATCATTAAATATAATAAATATATCGGAAAGGTTACGTCTAAAATATTACCAACTCGGACACAATTTGAAACTGAGAATTGAGTCAAAAATTCCTTCGAGACTATTGCAATATTTTCATGGTTTTCACACTTCACTAAAAAAACATCACATATTTCAGTTAAACCAAAAACAACCAAGAAATCATCATCCAGTCAGTTTGAGATAGTTGTCATTGTAAAATTCCTTAGTCATTTTTGCTTTAAAAAGTACCCACTTGCAATAATCGGCTTGGTGTTTTATTTTCAACTAGGATAAGTTCAATTCCATACAAACTATTACCGCTGTTTACGCAATACGAGTTAATTACGATATTTCGTTTTACAACGATTTTAAAAGAAAGACACTACCTACAAAAATAACGGCGCATTTGTTAGACCTTAGCGTCTAAGGCATCTGGTAAGTTAGTGGAAGATTATTGCAAATCAGCCGGTGAGTGGCTCACTGCACTGCTCTGGGGCGGCACATGAGATTACTTCTTCACATTTGCCACTGTTGCATCAGTTGCGTCCATCTTCTCCTCGGTCTTTACCACTTTACCCTCACCTGTAAATGAGTAACATCTTGTATTGTACTTGCGCCCCTAAATTCAGTCTTCTTTAATGTTGCTAAGGTCCATTAATTGCAATGAGTTGTACAGCTTATATTTGAGTTGAAACGAAAACCCGCCTTATAAATCTTGGATTTAAATCAGTGGACAATGTTTAAAATGGTCTTAAAGTTTGGATCAGAGTGCCATATCGTCAAGAACAAAGCCGACGCAAACGGGTTGGGCTTGTCATCGAAAAACTCGAAGAGCGTCACCCCTCATCGCTTTTGTTGGCTTCGTCTACGATTCGTCATCTAGTTCTCATCATTTCCACAGTAGAAAAATAACAAAAAAAACAGTGTACATGCAAAAGAAAAATAATTAAATTCTTATGCCAATATTCTTTGCTTGTGAAGAAAAGACATTAATTGTTATTGCTATCGGTATAATTAAATAATTTGGAATTATAAGTAAATATCAAAAAGTTGTTATTGATTGCTACGGTTTCACCATGAAATTGGCGTAAAAATTCCAATTTCAAATTGGGCCAAAAGAAAAAGGAACAGTCTTCACTGTTTACACAAATGGACAGGTCCTTGCGGTTAAGTACCACGACATCACAGATGACTGGCGTGAAGTGGAAGTGTTATACTTCTGCATTCCATCTAGTGAGTTAGGTGGCCGGAGCCCACTTTATATAAACGCATCTGCAACCATCCAGGTGTTGCAAATGTAATAACATGAGGTGCACTGCCAGTTGGCTTGCCACCTTGTCACGTAAAAAAAAGGTACCGTTGGGCTGGTCGGGCTCCGTGTCGGTGTTGGAGCGCCTGCGCTTGCGCGGGAACTTCCATCCGCCGCCCGCGTGCTTCAGCTTCGGCAGCAGCTCCATGTCCAGCACCTGATCAACACCAGACGTTCATCCTTAACGGCAGGGTCATGCCAGTCCTCATATATACCTTTGGCATACTCAGGTGGACTCAAACTGAGCTCAACAACCTCGAAGGAGAAAGAGCTCCACGGGAGGTTCTACAAGGCTCTGCATGAGCCTTTTGTAGACACTGTTACCTCCCTTAACTGGGTTTGGTGACCTGTTTGGGGAAACTGAAGGTTTTGTCTGTGCGATACAGGATCAGGTCATTAAGACGAACAACTATCAGAGATACATCCTTAAAGGATGGCACCGTCGACATCTGTCTAGCTTTACGCCGTCCCGGGGAGTCCTTTCGCCTGTTATCTCCGGTTGTTTCATGCTTTCTAACTGAGTATCTGCATAAACACAACCCAGGAGCTGGCTATGAAATACGGTCTCGCAGATCAGAAACTGCCGTACTACAAGTACTATCCGGAGGCTGTGCTCGAAAATGACCGCGCCAGGCTCTATTGGGACTGGCCCATCATCACGGACAGGACGATTGTCGCGAACAAACCTGATATCGTGTTGATGGACCGGGCACAGTCGCGAGTATTTTTGGTCGACATTACCATTCCATATGACGAAAACCTCGTGAAAGCCGAAACAGATAAGAAAACAAAGTATCTGGACCTGGCTCACGAGGTGACCGACATGTGGGGTGGTGTGCCGACCGAAATTATCCCGATAGTCGTTTCTGCCAATGGGTTAATCCCAGTCAGCCTCTCTGAACATCTGAGCCGACCGGGACTCCGGGACGGAACGCTCCAAGCTCAAATGCAGAAGGCGGTGCTCCTCGATACCGCCCGCATCGTACGCCGCTTTCTCTCCCTCTCACCCTAACCCTCGGCCGTTTGGTCTCCCCTGCCGAGGCTTTCCGTCTGGTTGGGTCCTATTTATATATGTATCATTTACAATATTTATATCTCTATGTTTATTTTTATTCATAACATTTATTTCATATATGCAATATAGATCTATATGTTTATTTTTTAAAAAACCCAACCAGACGAGAAAACAAATGAATATCCCCCCCATAATGTCTCACCTTGTGTATTTGCCTGAATGCAATTTGTCTTAGGAATTGTTGGGCAGATGCTGTCAAATCCTCTCGTTTTTGTGGGGGCAGGTTACCCAGGGCGTCCTGAAATTAATTTAGAGTGATTAACAATTAACAATTAATTAAGAGTGATTTTAAAGAATTATAATTTTTTATATCATTATTCACGTCTAGAATTTAATAAAAAAAAATGGATACACTCAGAAAAGCCTCCCTGTATAATACAACAAAACTATATTTAATCATTCATAATCTTTTATTTTTAAATTTCTGATAAAAATAATTTATTTAATTTTTAATAAATAGAAATGGATGCGGTTGCTTGCATTATGTTTACATTTCACACTTTGTGTAGATATAATGCAGCCATGTGCACCATGGTAGATGTGTTGGAAATTAAAAGACTGTGGTATACTGTGGCTGGGCCAAGCAGCAGCCTTTGCTGTTCGGCTAATAGGCATGCAAACCAATGAAAACACCACAGTCTTACAGAAAACTGGCATGTAATAGAAGTATTATCTTCTGCATTTCATCCAATGAAAGATGAACCTCCAGCTTGAGCCTTCTCACATGAAAAGGAGTACTACCTTTTTCTATCAGACTGGATGTTTTTGTATTTGATATGTTAGGGGTTGGGTAGCAAGTATCCAATGACTACTGTGATCTAGAACATGTCTTCTCTTCGGAAATATTGCCCCATACTGTAGGATAACATTATCCTTTGTGTTTTACATAAACAAATTTCACGTGAACAAACACCCAGATCCGGAAAATTTATCTGTGGGTCAGACAAATAGTTGTCCCATGTGGGAATCAAACCCATGACCCCCGGCACCGACGCTAATATTTTTTTGTTCTAGTTACCTCACTCATCAGACGAAACGCGGAAGCATTTGTCATACGTCCACTTTACGCTGGTCTTCTGTGAGGCGTGGTACTCACCCTGCGTGGCCCAACCACCGTAAACATGTACAATAATGTCGTGTCGTGTCGTGTCGTCCATGTACTTACTACGAGCTCCTTCTCGCAGGGGTCCCTCAGGCCGGGGCCCTGCTCCAGCAGCAGGCCGCCCGCCACCGCCTCCATGACGCGCCGCAGCGCCTCCCCGGGCGAGAGCGCCGCGCCCGCCGACTGCATCACCCCGGACACCAGAAGCTCCATCGCCTGAGACCAATCCGCTCGCTTACTATTTAATTGTAGTCGGCTGATTGAGTGATATTTATTTATGTCAATCATTACTATGCTCAAAATGTTTTAACAAATCCAAAAGTACCTTTATAAGAGGCTTTTTTATGTGAAGACAATGTATGAACAGCCCAACGTTTACTATATAATGTATTCAATGATATTTCGGATTTTATTTCAAAATGCTATTTGCAATTATTTTTTGAACCATGTTTAAAGTCTATATAAGTTAGGAAAATTTGTCCTTATTCAACCGGTATATATAATTTGTATGTGTACAGTACATACAAATATTCACACAATTTTTGAGACAAGTTCATGTTATTCTTTTAACCATTTTGAACATAGTAATATGGGGCCATCCTCATTGAAAGTTTTAATCATACGACGCTCGGATCTCTTGGCAGCCGCATGCGGCCGCCAGGCTCGACGAGCGCCTCAAACCTTTTACTAAGTAATCATTGGATGGCAATTAACATTACACTCGATCATTGCTTTTGATCAACACAAAAATTTATAAAGCATAATTAAATTTTATAAAACAAATGACACTGGAAAATATGTGTATCTTTGACAGGGTGAAATACTGATATGTTACATTCGTTTCTTTGGTTAAGGACACTTGATTTTTTCGTAATTACAATATTTCCTTTTGCTCTCAAGAGCCATGACAGCTCAGTGTCCAGGCGATGGCTCTGATTCAATATGCTCAAGCAATCAGAGTTCAAATCCCAGTGCCAGCAAGAATGAAATTATTAATTTTAAGCGCTGACATATGCTCAGCAATGAAGGAAAACCGCCATGTATATTTTAAAATAGTAGTTTAAAAAAAAAGAAGGCATGAGAAGTCCGCCAATCCGCAGTGGGGTTGCGTGGTAGACTGTGCCCTATTACCCTGTCTTTGCCTAGCAGCGGGTGGATTTATTAACTGTTACTGCACTTACACTTTACACAAAAGTCGATAATAGAAAATGCAACACTCACGTATGGATTGAGCGGCGTCCAGTTGGGTATGCGGCGGCAGAGGTCGCGCATGACGCGGATGATGATGACGCACGACTGCAGACTGGCCGCCCGCGCCTGCGCGCACACCGCCAGCTCAGAACGGCTCGGAACCACAACCTTCACAACCCCCACACCCGAGCCCGGTACCACCCTCGCGGCAACCCTAGCTTACTAGCCCTTCTGCACCGCTTGTACAAGCCATGGCTTAGTCCCATTACTTTACGAATCGGCTGAGTAACTATTGCGGAAACTTTAGTTTGGTTTGCTAGGCGAGGGTGGACAGGTCGTGATGTTCCGAACAAAACAACACAAATACCCCCATATGTAGCAGAATGTGTTATCATCTCCGTTGGATTTGACAAAGCTCAAACTGCGTTTCCTCCATGCTTTCATCTAATCAACTCCCAGAGGCTATATCAAAGTGCGAATGGAAACGCAGCTTTCCCGACAAGCACTTTGTAGCCACATGTTCATGGGAGCGTAAATATTTAACAATATGAATACTTTTAAAGTAAAATCATAATCTACATTAACTGGATAAAATAAAACATGTGACTAAAATAAACGTGCGCACTCCCTCTAAATACTTAATAACAAAATTATTAAAAAAAACTGTACTGGACTGTATTGGAAATTTGTTTATTCTTTCAATTACAAAATAAAAGCATTTTCAGGCAAAAGATAAATCATCAACGTCACAGCTGCTGATTACAATTATTAATTGATATAAAAATCAATCAGAATAAATACACAAAGGGTTGGTCAGTTACGCTGCGACTTGGCTTGATGCAAGAATCTTTTAAGAATGAACAATTTTTTTTTCGCACATGGCAACAACGAAGTCTTAATTTGGCAATAAACTTATTTAATTTGGCGAAGGTGGAGTGCGCAAACGTCCGGTAATGTGGGCGAATGTACCTGGAACCACTTGGCGTGCCGAAGGGCGGCCAACGCGTCCAAACACTTCTGCCGCGGTAGCACATCCTTGTCGTCTCGCTTTATGTCGCCACCCTCTAGCGACAACAACACAAAGGGTGTTTGACCATCAACACATCGACGAAAACGGGGCAAACATGGGGGGCGCCTACGGACCTGACTTACGAATTGCGATTATCTTACATTCGAATTGCGTAAATATTGGATAAATAAAATTAAATAGCTTCAAACTTAATCTACTACTCCGCCGTTAAAATAATAATTTCAAAGGAAAAAAATATAAATACAAATACGATACAAATGAGAGAGAGAAATGTTTGCTCCGTTTCAGTAGACATCAATATACCACTGCAGAGGGTCAACGCACGTGATATATCTCAAGGGATGATCAAAAATCCTTTTCTTCTTGCTGCTTACCCTACTCAAACCTAAAAATAAGCATTCAACACATTGCCCGGTGTGCCACCGAGTCGGTAAACATTGAACAAATTATCTCATTGCTTCCATAAAACAACATTGAAATGAAACAAAATCAATAAAACAAATAAAAACAAGAAGGAGAAACAGAGCTGACAGACGGATAGTTTGTTCTAAATTGTTTCTAAAGGAATAAGACATATGGGTTCGACGACCATTTACCATTTCACTAAAAGGCATTAACGTACCAAGTCTTTAAACTGTTGTTTCGACGTTAACGATACCCGTTTATGGTCCAACAACCGCTTACATCAAGTTTAAACCAGGCTATTTAGCCTGGTTTAAACAAACTGTTATACAAGGAGACTTTTTTAAAGGTGCCCAAATTTACACAGGAGGTTCAAACACGGTAGTATAATCGTTAATTGAAATAAAAACAAACTTTTATCAAAAAAATTCCTAAAAACCAGAACTTGTTGACAATGCGGTAGTCATTAATAAATACCTAAATTTTACTGTTCACGTACACAAACGAACTTGTGTGCGTGTTAGTTATGAATGATCTCGCGTAAAATAAATGAGTTGCGTATAAATCACGCACTTTTTGAGATAAGTTCAAATGAATGTAATTAATTACTTACAAGTGATTTAAAATATTTTACATTTTTTATATATCATTATTTGTCTAGAATATAAATTAAAAAATGCATACATTTAGAAAAGCCTCCTTGTATAAAGTAGGCTTCCGTATACGATAGACGGTATCGTTTCATCGACAACCCACCACTACGATGCGTGTATTACCTTGTGATGTACCTTTAGAATTATAGTGACCTTTCTAAAAAATATAAATTTTTGGGAAAACAAAATATAAAAGATTTGTGTACTTATGGAAAAACTCTGTGACTGGAGGGGGCATGAAAGAGACCGAAGTACATGTTAAGTAGCTTTGTAAACCAAAATCGGCCCTCGTTCTCATAAGAGTCGAATGTAAGTATGTAGTCCCTTCAATTCTAAAGGCGTACGCATGATATACACACGCCGGTGGGGAGGGGCGTGGTCGGTCGAACCGGCGCGTACCTGCGGGCTCGCGCATGACGGCCGACGTGAGGCTGACGAGCACGTTCACGTTGCCGTCCGACACCTGCACGGCGCCCTCGGCCGGCTGCAGCTCCACCTTGTACTTGCTCTCGTCGCCGGGGCCCTGCGGCATGTTTTTACGTGAGAATGAGGCGTGCGAGCTGCCGGTTCATCTGATGGTAAGCGATAACAGTCGCTCATCAACACCTACAATACCTGTAGGGGTGTAGATGCGTTGCCACCTTTTAATGAAAGCAGAAGTATGGCATGAGCACTTTATGGCGGTTGCCGCATGTCCATTTGTATGATATGGAATGAGAACACATGGTGCGTCACCTTGAGGCGCGCCAGGTGCAGCGGCAGGTCTGCGGCGACGCGCTTGAGCAGCGTGACGGTGGGGCGGTCGTGGCAGAGCACGACGAGCCGCACGTCGCGGTCGCCGCGCAGCAGCAGCCCCTTGGCCAGCAGCCCCACGCGCATCACGCCCTTGAGCGCGCGCGCCGCGGCCGCGCCCTCGCCGCCGCCCGCCCCCGCCCCCGCCCCCGCCCCCGCCGCCCCCGCCGCCGCCTCGCCCTCGCCCACGAACGAGAACAGCTGGTTGTCGCGGCCGTCCTCCTTGGCCTCCGGCTTGTCCTCCTTCGGCCCCTTGGCCCTGGGCAGGTCGGCCAGGGCGTCGGAGAGCGACTTGAGCGCGCGCTCCGTGTGCGAGACCACGCGCTGGATGTCGGCCAGCTCCTGCTCCGCGGGGTAGATCTCGGCGTGGCGCGCCAGCACGTGCCGGTCGTCGGCCGTCTCGCTGCGGCGCGCCATCGCGCCGTACGGCACGCCCATGCCCTGCGCACGGAGAGCCATTTTAGTCACGGCGGTCTCTGACATTTTCTTCACATGCTTCTCTAATGTCCCATTTGGGACATTTGCTCAGCACGAAAGGTTACGCACGCACCTTCACCACTCATTGCAAAGGACACGGTAACAAATCTATAGTACAACAAGAGTATAGTTCTCCCAAGCTATGTAATTATGAGGCTCATCCAAAGTACTCACATGGTGGTGGTGGTGCAGGTGTGGCGGCAGCGGACCACGTGGCCACCAGCCCTCCGCACCGCCCTCCCAATAGGCACGTTCCTCGTCCTCCATGCCCTGTCCGACAAACATAATTATTTTAGTCTTTGCTGGCTTGCTTGAATTCCAAGTTAAATTAAAGTTTCTATATCACAATGTAAAAAACAATAAATTGCAATACATACTTGTTTTTAAGTTGGATTATAGTTGATGTAGCATCAAAGATGAATCAATTATTTGTTATTGTTCAAAAGACATTTCATAGATACAAATAAATTCCTCTGTGTTATCAGTGACAAGCTGGGATAGCTAAGTGACTGGGGTTTAATTCAATATACTCGAGTAATCTGAATTTAAATCCCAGTTTAATTTTAAATGCTGTCTCGTCATATGCTCAGCAGTTAAGGAAAACATAGTGTTTTAGAATAAAAACAAAAAAACATATTTAAAAGTCCATCAGCAATGAGACCGCGTGTTGGACTATGTCCTTAAACCGTCTCTTAAACAGAGGCCTTTGGGCTGCAGTGGAACATTGCTAGAATGCTACTCACGTCGTGCATGCGCCGCCTGGCCCAGAGCTCGTCGCGGACGAGCAGCCTCTGCGCCTTGGCCTCGGCCAGCTTGCGCTGGTGCGTGGACGGCTTCACCTTCACCTCCAGGTCGGGCTGCACCTGCGGGCCGCGGAAGGAGGTCAGAGGTGGGGGCGAGAACGGCCCGGGGAGAGTCGGTAGCCTTGGTCGTACCTTCTTCTTGTACTGCAGCCGGTGGCGGCGGCCCTTCATGTGCATCTCCTTGGCGTTGGGGTCGTTGAACTTGCAGTCGCAGAGCTTGCAGTTGAAGCTGAGCGCCTTGCCGTCGTCGCCGCGGATCTCCTCGATGTAGTCCTGGCCCACGGGCTGCACCTCCGGCTCGGCGTCCGCCTCCTCGTCGCGCTCGTCCTCCTTGTCCTTGTCTGCGGGCGCGCCCACCGTGCTCAGTTCCCCCGACGCCACGAATGCGATCGTGGGCGTCCCGGCCACCGTCTTTCGCGCTGAGCGGGAAAAGCCAAATTTTCTCTCACCCCCCATCGTTCCCAACACATCCATCCAACAACAAATCAACTACGAGGTGGAAACAAAACGTCCGCGTGTGTCACACTCCATATCTGTACCGAGTGCTTGAATTTGATCATGAATAAGAGAAAATTTGACTTGTTTCGTCACGACAGACAGTGGTGGGGTCTAACTTGGTAGGAGACCGGCGCGGTGTGGGCGGTGTGGGCGGAGTGGGCGGTGTGCGCCGCGTATGCGGTGGTGGTCACCTGCGCGTAGGTGGCGGGCGTGGTGTAGGCGGGCTTGGCGGCCGCGTCGTAGGCCGGCTGCTGCGGCGGCGCGGGGTAGGCCTGCTGGTAGTACGCGCTCTTGCTCGCGTCGTACGCCGACGCGGCCGCGGCCGCCGCCTGCGCGTGCGCGTGCGCCGCCGCTGCCCATAACAATTAACAACTTCATTGGTGGTGGCAACCTTAGTTTATTCAATTAAAGCTGAGCTCACAGCTCTACTGTACCATGCAATCCTTAGATCTAATTTTTTCATTTAAATAAACTATAATATATTAGGATAACATTCATTATACTTTGTACACTTTTTCCCTTCTTTAAGTATTATGTTAGGACCTCTGCATCAATGTCTTTACAAATACTTACGCCCGGTTTCTGAAACACTGATTATCGTAGATGTCAACTAATCAGCAGTAAAAAGGCATTTCAAATTTCATTTTAGTTGCCAAAAGTACGGTTAAACTCTCTGAATTGACCAGAATGATCTTCTAATGATCAGAACAATCGATCCAAAGAGTTTAACCATCCTTTTGCCAACTAAAATAAAATTTGAAAACCATTTGACAGCTGATTAGTTGACATCTATGATGATCAGTGTTTCAGAAGCCGGCCGTTAGTCTACCTTGTACAATTCTGGAAATAATATGCTAACTAGAAACAAGCTGAGTAATTAAATCTTTAGATTAGATGCAGATCATAGTTCCCTTTCACTATTTATTGGAATATATTAAAAATTTATCTGTACGAAAAAGGAACAAGCTGAATTCTAGATGGGTAGCACAGCAGACAGGGGGATAATAATATATATGTGTTATTCATTGTGGTGATAAGCAACTGCACAACTTTACATTAGCTTGGTTATTATTTGTTTTACTTTTTTTAAACAAAAAATACCTTTAGACACTTTTATACTTAATAAGGCTGCAAAGACTTGACAATTTAAAAATTATATAAATATGGAAAATATGCAACTATGGATTAATTTTAAGGATATAATTGTTTATTTTCTAGTGATTTAAATCATAAATATAAACTGTAAATTAGTTTCTGAAATCAGTGCGACTAAACAAATCTATTTTTGTATGTAACAATTAGTTCTTATGATACAAATACAACAAAGTTAATATCACTTTAAAAATTTTTTTTTAAACTAGCTGACTCGGCAAATGTTGTTTTGCCATATCAATTATTTCCATGGAATTAGTCAAACTGAACACAGAAAAAGAAGTTACACTGACATAGTTGTCAGGTACAGTTTGCATGAAAAAATAAAATTGTTGCTATTTCGATTTTCCATGCAATTTTTCCATAATTTCTTATTGTTTAAACCCTCCCTGGACCGGTACAAATATTTTAAAACACAAATTACTCAAATCGGTCCATCCGTTCTAGTTTTAGTGAGACTAACAAAAAGCAATTCATTTATATATATATTCATTTATATAGATATAGTAATGTATTATTCACTTCATTACTTAAACTACAAATAATTATTATAAATATGCATTTTTTTAAGAAACTCAAATTCATAAACTAAATGTCATTCTATGTTAAGGCTAAAATGTATGACTGTTTAATTAGAACAAATGTTTCACTAAACACAAAAACGGACAACAATCGCAATTTTTAAAATTGTATTGCATTTTAATATCATCTCAATAAGTAATTTATATGTATAATATAAATTGTCCGAAAATAATATACTTAAATTTTTGGCAATTAACCATGAGTATACGAAAATTATTGAAACGGAAGTCGCGAAGACTTGATATGCTAAATTTACGAATGAAAGGGCAAGCAGTATAGTTAAAACTGATTTCATGGAAGTTAGTACTACCTAGTTTTTACTGGATAGTTGCAACTATTATGCCGAAGTAGTTTTGTAGTACAAGGAATACTAAATACCTTGTGTGGCGGCAGCGGCTTGGTAGGCTGTGTCATAGCCTGTGAAATATGAAAACCTCTGAGGCTTGTTCTTAACCATACCGATTAAAAGTATTTTAAAATTTTAACTATACTTGATACTTTTCTTTCAACAGTTATTTCTGGAGGGATAAGGAATTGGTCGCGCTTATAAAAGATTATGTTTTATTCTTTTAAATGATGCTGTTATAACCACGCCACTATAATGTGAATGTGACTTTAGCACCTTAACTTTCATGATCGCATTCGCCAAGGGAGTTCTGAGGAATCGTTAGAAATAATTCCATGTTTTGATGTTGAAATAATACCAATTGTTTCATGTATTTGTATGGGCGAAAGTTTCTCGAAAAGCATCTGGTATTGTTTTTGGTGCACCATCTAGACGGTTACTCTTGCATTGTTTTCGTGATTTTACGCGAATATTATACATATAAAATGGAACTAGTTTACGGACTTTATCGCGTTTTTTATTTTGATTTGAACTCCCGTTGTTTCGAACCCTTTCCAGCGTTCATGGTTACGGGACAGCCATGTCTGTCAGAAATCCGTAAACTAGTTTCATTTAATAGGTAACTCTTGTTTTGTTCGTGTTATATGAAAACATATTTTTATTATTTTATTTATTCTAATTTTGAATTGCTTGAATTATAATGCCCTATACGTATCCGCTATGCAATTACAATTACAAGTAGTAAAAATGATGGTAAGTAACATCGGCTTCCGGCTTGCAGTTACCACCCACTAAAATACCGAGTATGACACATGAGTTCCTGCAGTGGTAGGGGCTAGATCGCGGTGGTTATGATCGGGAAATGGGCCCAAATAACCAACAGCTCATACCAACTGCGTATTATCCCAGGGTGGCCCGATCGTGCTGGTTGCGGAATGTCGCAGACCTAGACTGTCATGGAACCAATACGACCGGGTATCGATCGGGGGGCTTAGTAGCTGTAGTTTGGTCCCGCACGGCGAACGAAGTAGAAGAAAAAGAACCCTCAATGAGCCCGAAGTTAGTGTAAGGCTGGCCCCAGCGGGCAGTTCTAAATGAACTAGGTTCATTTAGCATATCCCCCACGTTCCCAAACCAAAAAAAAAAATACTGATTATACAGCGTGTCGTTACCATCGCGACAATAAATGAACACACGTCTAACGCTACTTGCCAATAATCATAAAAAAATATTAACGTTAAACAAAATCCATAATTAAAAAAATATATTTTTCAAACAAACTAATTAAGTAAAAAAGAACAAAATTTGTAACATCCTATACAACTCGCGCCACAGCGTCGTATTACAAGCCTCTCCTACTAACAGTATGTTTTGTCTCTTTTAAATTCATTCAACCCTTTCATATGCTTTGTGACCTTTACAAATGAACTTTTCGTTACGCTTTTATAAGTAAGGGTGTTCTAAAATTCTTTGTTTTGGAAAATTTTATAACTCTGTAAATATTGATGTTTAAAGAATTTAAATGTTTAGTACAACTTTAAAAACTTATCCCCTATATGTGTGTTTATTTATTGTCGCGATGGTAACGACATGCTGTATATAGGAACAACTTTCACCAGTGTGTATCTGTGTGTATGTTTATAGTCACATTTGTTGCTCTCCAACCCCTTGAAGACCCTACACTTCCACTTCTTGAGGACCTTCTACAACCCCTACCGGGTGAAAAGAATCGTTTGTGAAACCCCACACGATTATGACCCACGGGGTATGTCTAATATGGCGGGTCAGCAGATTGCGCTCAGATGCGGCATTTCTTTACATCTTGTTCTTGACAGATCCACATCAAGCAATGGAGCATTTAGTTCTATCCTATTCCCTTTTATTATAAACTTGTCTAGACGACACATTTAACCTTACCAAATGGCGCAAATACAGTTTACTTAAATTGTTAGACTCGCTTTTCACCAAATCAGTGTCAGTCTCTCGTAATTGACGGCGCGTCGTTTGTTAAGGCGCTGTATGCAGTGAATTTTTAAATATTTGCGTGGTGAAGTATGAGGAAGCGGAGGAGGGGTAACGGCGCTTGGCGGCGCGCAGCGCGCGAGTTTCGTCGACGCGCCGCTAGACCATTCATAACCTAGTGTGTAGTGATGGGCCGTAGGACACTATCGATAGTATCATGGAAGGCTTTCGAAAATGTACACAGATGATCCCTATAATATCTTTTATAGACCATGATTGTACTTTACTTTTATATTATTATAGGAATAATAATAAACAAACAAATATAAAGTATGAGAAAGCAATCAACAATTTTAGAAAAACTTCCTATTAATTATTTTAAATTATCAGGAAAAGGATTAGAATTGATTGAAAATACATCTTAAGGTCAAATAAATTAATAAAGGCAAATGACATTTCTTACAACAAAACAATAAATAAACGAATAATTATTTATTTTCATATTCAAGTTTAATTACGCAATTTCATAGTCTCTACGGCAGAAATTACGAATACGACTTTTTTATTACATATTTTCTTAAACTTTATATCTTTAATTTATCCTTTAAATGTGAAAGAATTACTACGTTATATCAATTCCTCAATAAAATTATATTTAAAAAATTATCGATAAAATTCCTTATATCGATAAACGACAACAATTATAACTAGAATCGAAATATTGTTCCCTTCCGCAGACATCGTGTAGCCTATTGGTCCGAGCGTCATGGTTGATATATCTTTTTCCAATTTTAATTTGTTAATCAATTAATTATTTTGTTGTTATTTGATAAAATGTGGAAAATACAAAAATTATAAAACAATTATTTTTCGTGTTCGTAAAAGAATAGTTTGCGTTTTAGGGTGAAAAATTAAATATTTTAATAAAACAAATTAAAAACAATATACAATATAAGACTTTAAATTTTAAATAATGAAAAACCCACTAAAATTTTATTAAATTCAAACAAAAATTTCTAAATTTAAAATCAGGATTTTTTTTTATATTATAGAAAAGGGCAAACAATTATCTGATAAAATAAACCATGGTCAAGAACATCAAATATTTGAAATGAATATGTTAAGAATAAAATCAAAACAATATTAAAAAAATATTAGAATAAATAAAATATTCATACCAGACACATGGGCCTTGGCCTGACGTCGTAAAAAGCAGCACGGCACTGAATTTTTTTAAATAAGTAGTTTTGTGTAGTTTTTTTCGAAAATGTGAATAAAATTTAACTCCTAAAAATATTCCCCTAAAAATTTACCTCCCAAAAAACTTCCATTCCACATTTTTTATTCCTAAATTTCGGAAGAAAATTCCTAAGTTGGCATCCCTGCCTTTACACTGACTTACTTATCAATGATAAGATATTGAAATTACGCTTTAGTTGTTAATTCATACAAATAATTAAAAATACGAAATATGTGAACATATATTTTTTAGTTTCGTGTTTTCGAAAGATTTAATAAAATTATAACTCTCAATAATAAATAAATACGGAACATATTTGGTAACGGTGAGCGAAAGACGAGCGGTATAGGTCGCGTTCGAATTAATTTTAATGAATTAAATTAATATCTACAAATAGCTTACTTCAATCAACAAATTAAAACAACAATCCTTTTTATTAATATATTCTACACCACTGATATTAATTTCATTAAGATTTGTTGATGTATTACGTTCATTTTTGGTTTTGAATTTCTCTTTTAGAGGTAGTTTCATGATTTTTTTTCTATCGAGAAAATATATCGAGAATATGTTTTGGAAACAATGTTCCCTTAGAATGTACGATCAAGATCAACATATATTTTTTTTGCTGCTATACAATGTGGAGATTTTGCTAAAAAATCTTTTGAAAAACCTATTTTACTGCATACAGCGCCTTAACATTGCTTCATCTAGACAAGTATTTAATGAGTCTATTCCATTTCACTTTTGGCAATGCTCGCCCATGGTTTAACGCCTAATTATAAGGATATAAAGCGCAAACATTCAGCGTAGGTACCTGCCCTAGTCTGAAGCTCGGGTTCGTCACTGTAAATCTCTGGATCTTAGCTTTTAACCAGGTCACCAAAGTTCTCGAGGTTCCGACTTAATTAAACTTATTGGTGCAAAGCTCACACGCATAGCAGCTTTTTAGGGTTCCGTACCCAAAGGGTACAACGGGACCCCATTAAAACTCCGCTGTCTGTCTGTCCGTCTGTATCTCATGAACCGTGTTAGTTAGTTGAACTTTCACAGATGATGTATTTCTGTTGCCGCTATAATAAATACTGTAAAAAAGAATAAAAATATTTAAGTGGGGTCCCATAAAACAGACATGATTCTATTGCAGTTTTTTTATAGATAATGGTACGGAACCCTTCGTGCTCGATTCTAACTCGCACTTGGCCGGTCTTTAGTCTTTGGCCCAGACGGTTTAAACTTTAAATCCATCAATCCGGCCTACTGTTTCCGCTGGTTAAACCGTATGCATATTGAACAACCGCCTTAAGGCATAACTAAAACAAAACGACCTTCACATCGGCCGTTCCTTGCTATAGGGCACTGGTCATCTATTTATAGCCCAAGGCTGGAAATTTGTGTACTGCTGTCATTTTTGTATGGTTGCTCCTATATGCCGTCTTGATGCTTTGAACTCGATGGAGGTGTGTGAAAAGCTTCTCGGTGATTTTAACTTTACTGAACTAGCGCGCTTACCATCCACGGCTGCATCGCTACTTACCATCAGGTGGGATGGCAGTCAAACGCTAGTCAGTTCCATATATGTATAGAAAAAAATTGCTTAGGATCAATATTTCTAGCCTGGTTGCACAGTTAAGCTCTATTCAGTCTCTTATTAAAAATATTCCGGCGGTATCGAGGTTTAATTGTATAATTTATTTTTTATTTTAAAACTGACATTATCAGTAGCTAAATATTACTGATAAGCTCAGTAAAGATAAAATGTTATAACAATGGGTAGGTACTAATTGTGCTGAAATATGATGTTGGTTCCAATAAATATACAATGATTTATACTTTACCTTTCTAGCAAGCAATCAGAGGAAGAAAACATAATACACAATATTCAAAAGACATTATGGCAGTTTGTAGATTTATATATTGTGAATGTTCTTACAATAATTTTTAATAATATAATAACTGATACATTAGTGTCCAAAAAAATAAAATGGTTCTAAACTCTCAAATTTGTATCTCTTTTAAATATGTGTGATAATTATACAGTACTACTATAAATAATATATAACAAATGTTTACCATAATTGTTCTTAAATTCATGAAAAACTTCATATAAAAGAGAATCTATTCACATTTTATTTTTCTGAACACCATGTGTTGTTTTAATTTATAAATTTGATTATTTTAACAAAATATATTTAAGGTCTATTGGACAGTCTGGATAACAATGAATTTTATATTTTAAAAGACAAACTGCTTTGAAACTTTCTAAACCAGATCAACTTTGGCAGTGACCGTATAACATCATAACAAGCAATGTGCACTTTCATCTTTGCGATCTGCAACATTTGTTAATAGATATTCAACCGAATGGCAGCCCAAAAAATATTCTAAATAAAATAAAGCAGCATATTACAATGAGGCAAGATATGCAACACAAAATGTATAATGAGTGGTCACAGTCTTTATGGCCATGTGCCGTAGAATTTCAAATCTTGTGTAGATTTATTGCTAGAGTAATATGCAACTAAATTTCTATCTTCATAAGACCGTTGAAGGCTGACCTCGTAATTTTTCGGACTGCCCCTTTAATGGACGATGTTAGGCAGATCAAAAAGATCAAAATGTTACAACATCCAGTATTGTAAAGACATCTTTGCTCTTGACACCAGGAATGTTTCTTGATTTTAAAATAATTCTGCAATGTAGAAAAGCCACGAATGTTACGACGAGGCTTTGAGGAGTTTGCTTTAAATGATTACATGATAGAGAACATGCAGTGCAATTAGTTTTACATCTCTTGTACAATATAACAAGACATCCTGGTTAGTATTAACATTTTCACCAGAGATGCACTCATTTTATGATTGTCACATCACTTTTCGAAGTATCAGACTTTACAATTTTTACAACTAGAGGTTGGATGGTCAATCTCCCTCTTAACAAAACATTAACATGCGTATATTTAACTTTGACAAAAATCAAAGTGTATTGCTTTTTTCAGACTTTTTATAATTTTTTTTTGTATTTTTATATTTTTATTAATTTTTTTTGGTCTTTTTGCTAAGCGTTTTTATTTTTATTGACATTTTTTTTGGCATATGAACAGTTTTCGAGACACATAAATACACAAAATGTTGTAATAGATTATTCATAATCATTTATTGTACTTTTTGTATGGGGCAGTGCCTCTTATGTAAAATCTTTATAAAACTTATTAATAACATACAGCTGCCAGGCACATGTTTTAATGCAAAGGTATAAAGGAAAGTTCGTGTGGGGCATATTAAGTGAACAATTAGGTAAATAATTCTGCCCTGCCGACAATGAGTTTAAATTTAAATTTACTCGTAATATAATGTAATAATGTAAATCGAGAGCATTGAAATTGGAACCGAATATACTAAGTCTATTTCAAGTCAGAAAAGGCAACAATGCTCTAATTTTAAACATATGTTATTGTTTTGGAATATGGCAACATGTGAATTTAAGCCTTCTTCAATGAATCACATATATAAATAGAAATTTTATGAGACCCTTTTATGTAAACGTATGTTAGCACCATATTTTAAACATTTTTTAACGTAAAAAGAAAAGCAATGAAAAAATATATTACCTTCTTTGAACATTTATGGCACAAGGCAAAAACCTATTGCAGCTTAAAATCATCAATGCTAAAAAGCTAGCAGGATGCTCGAGTGTTTGAGGTTTGACTTAACACAATTATTGCTTATTACCCGTGTACAGAAAAATATTAAGTTATTTTTGAACCATTAGAGCTCTTTTAACAATTAACAACAATCATTACGCTCCATCTTACCCCAACAACACCTAATTTGCTAATACCCTTGCACTGCCAAGCCTCCTTTGAGCCATATCGTGTATGTATATATATATAGATATATATATTTTTTTCGTCATTTTCAATGGATCACAAAAATACTATTTACATAAAATGTTACAATATATCCCTTATACACACCTCTATTTCCTCCATTTTCACTCCCTCCGCTCTTATTATTTACAAGTTTAAATAGCTTACAAACAAACAATATAAATATTAAAACAAAATAGGACGCATTTCAAGGCAGCACCGCTTCTCAATTCCACTAAATACATTTATTTTAACTATTTAAGTCACTGGAAACTGTGCCTTGGGGCCAATATTTTTTTTGTTTTGCATTCTTACATAAATATATAATTGCAATTATTACCTACAGACAACCCCAAATTAGTTCTGATTATATATCGCGAGATGCCTTTGTGCATTAAATTTTTATAAAAAGCTTTTAAAACTATATAAAACAATTCCATAAAATAAAGTTAAAATTTTTTTTAAACTCTATAATTATTTCGTATGTTATGGTCAACCAGGTACCGGAAATAAACCAACTAAAACTAAGTACAAATCAACAATTCTAAACTATAAAAACGGTTTCAGAATGAAGAGTAAAATTGCAGACATTTTTTCAAACAATATCATTTTAAAAACAGTGAAAGCATTCCATGACATCAGAATTTGGGATCATCTGAAGTAAAGACATTTAGATGCAATAGATCCAGCTAGATTTCCTTCTTCATAGTGATTATGGATAAGATAACAATGCTAACGTGCAATGAGTTTCCAGAAGGAAACTTTCCTTGGCCGCATGATAATGTGTTTTAAAAACTCTGTTGCCTACCATGCTCCAGCAAGCGCTAGCTTTTCTTGGCATCAATCAACCATTAAACGCTCAAGTCAACCAGTCTTATCAGTATTAGTTATATGGATTTACCTAAACAACATGACACTATGGGATTCAAACATATAATTTTCATAGTGGCATTTGTTTTATGTACACAATAAAAAATATTTAACACTAACGCGATTTATTTCGTTCCTCAGTGGCTGGAATAGTGGAGATACCGGCTCCAAATTGAACGTCAGCAACCGAACGACTTTGACTAGGAGTCCAGTCGGGGCGCCATCATCGGTCCGGCGCCGGCCAGGCGTCCGCCAGCCGCAGGGTGGCCGCCAGCCGCTCGTGGCTCTGCCGGAACGTGCGCACGATGCGCTCGAACGTCTCCGGGTCGTACACGGAGCGCGCCGTGTTCGACAGGTCGAACGGCTCTGCCCAAATTTATTCGTTTACGTTTACACATTCAAAAACTATCATCACCGGAGTTCACTGAATTAGGGCTCACCAGAGAAGAACCGGTTATTTTACACGATAATTTGTGTAAATCATACAAACCCAATGAGACTTTTATTACCATTGAGCATTAAAAAGAAAACCATAGGTGTACTACCTACTACCGTTTTTATTATCTCCTTTTACCAGATTGCCTGGAAGAAATCGTTGTTTTAAAGTATAGTAGTGGTCCATTTATGGTAGAAGTAAAAGCTCTATTTAACTTTGGTAGGGGCACGTTTCACGAATGGGCAGGCTCGTCCAGGTAAGTACCACAACCTCACAGAAGACCTTTCTACTATACTTTCGAGTTTTGTCTGGTGAGTGAGGTGGGCGGGGTATCGAGTTAACGTCAGGTGAACCGTCCGCTCGCACATAGAGAAACCGACCCTCGACGCAGAGCAGCTTCCACTGGTGGGCGTGGGGCTGGGGGTCCCTGGCGCGGCACTCGGCCAGCGGCACGCGCCTCGCCGCCCGCACCGACACTGCGTACTGCTCGTACCTGCATATGCGATATACTTGGATGAAATAAATAAACCGACGACCCGATTGGCGTGGTGGGTAGTGAGTGAAGAGGTTCGATCCCCACTACTGGAAAAATATTGTGCGATTAATATAGTATGCTTTTCAGTGTCTGGGTGTTTATACATGTATATAGTTATATATATTATAGTACATATATTTAAGTATATTTATCGGTTATCTAGTACCCATTGTACAAGCATTTTATTTTTTTTATGTGAAAAGTTGCCAAGCGAGCAGCGTTTAGTTTGGGACTAGAGAATGTTGTGTAAAAATGTACAGAACAGTATTCGCTGTTGCAAGAATGCGCAGGTCAGTCCGGGTAAGTACCACGACCTCACAGAAGACCGGTGTAAAGGTAGAAGTGTTACACTTCTGCGTTCCGTCTGGTGAGTGAGGTAGCCGGGGCCCACTTTATTCAAACCTGGCAACGCATTTGCAAACCTATGAGTGTTGACAGTGCTCTTGGGCGGCGTTTGTCGCTTAACATCAGGTGAATCGGCAGGTCGTTTGCCACTTTCTCAGACAAAAAGAAATGTGCCATCTCTGTCCGCTTGCTCGACAGCTTTCCACGCGTGTAAAAGGAAACAGACACTAACGGGAACTCGGCGTAGTACTTGAGCAGGTGCAGGAAGAGCTCCCCGAGCGTGGAGCGGTTGAGGGCGCGCCCCGCCCCCGCCCCCGCCCCCGCCGCCCCCGCGGCGCCCGCGCGCGGCAGCACCGGCGGGCTGGTGCCGCCTGCCGAGCGACACGCAAAACACCTATGTTACATATCCGTTCCCATGGAAACGTGCAACTAAACGGCGTCTTCATCGCAGCGTCGCGACACAATCCCACGGGTCAAGTTTTGCTGAAACCATGTAAACGGATTACACATCCAGGCTCTCACTTCGTGGGAGCGAACTATTGTCTACGACGGACAATATAGCTGACGTCCATGGAAACGTCGCCAGTCGACACCGCTGCTTACCGTATTCAAGAACTTTGGTTAACGATTTATTTTTTTCATCAGACTTAGGTTAGGCTAGCTATAGTTTAAATTGTAACTTTTAAATAAATAAGTTAAGGACGCGTTTACGAATTCACGCGCTTCAATTTTAGGTACAGAGGCGTACTACTACACGTGCACGGCTCACGCACGAAACACGTAGCTCATCTCGTCTGTTAGTTCCAGAAGCAGTTCTCGAAGTACACCTTCAGGTCACACCATCAAGTCCGTAACGAAATATGAATTTTTAACCCCTACTAACTTCTAGTAAAAATATGACAAAGTGTGAATTAAATTTTACTTTTGTCGTTCGTAGTCCGAAGTCCGAACATGATGTGTAAAGTATCAACTTTGTTACGACAAATATTTTGTATTCGTACAGCGATCTTTTTCCTCACGAGCTGTTGTTTATAAGCGACACAGGGACCACTCATGACGGCAGCCGAGCGCCAACTAATATTTCTTTAAATATTTTTGTGGAATAAATCAAAATAGTGACCAGTAAAATAACCTTTATGTCAATCGCTTAAGATTCACGCGTAAGATATAAATATGAAAGAAATAGACTTTAATCTTTATTTTTTTCTGAAACTAATTTCAAAAATTTTGATACGTAATGTGCCTGCTACCTTTTTGAGTTGAACATGTGTGCTTACATAAAATATTTTTAAATAAAAAAAAAAATGTTATTAAATAAGAGAAAAATGTTCCTAAACCCAACAGGATATTGTGAATTTTGAGTGAAGTGGCAACGAAAATTCTCATTTACAATATTATAAACCAAAATTTTCGATTAAAAACTATCTACCATTTGAAGATGAAGGAGGGATCTATATGTGATAATTATTACTTACATTATATTCGTTTCGTTTTGCCGCAAAATGTACCTGAAAACTCCCTATTTTTTACAGATTCCGCGAGATTTCGCAAACACGCCCTTAAAGCAAATTGCCTTTTTTTTTGAGGCCCCCGACAGCGACTTCTATAATTCATGGGAGCCCAACATAAATATTATTGTATGTTGTTATAGTGGACATAGGTACATCATCTGTGAAAATTTCAACTGTCTAACTATCAACGTTCGTGCGATATAGCCTGATGACAGACGTGCAGACAGACAGATAACGGATGTTAGTAATAGGGTCCCGTTTTACTTGCCCTTTGAGCACGGAACCCTAAAAATATTACTAGTAACGACATAAATTAAAATTTTAAACATTTTGGACATTAAACAACATCTTGATCTAATACAACCGAGTCAATTGACACCGTTCGACAGCTTCGAGACGTGATAGTGTGTGAACAGAAAAGGACTCACACTGCAGGAAGTGTATGACCATGAGCGTGAGCGCGTAGGAGGAGAGCGTGCGGCGGCGCGCGTCGTTGATGCGGTGCGCGCGCGCCCACAGCTTGGCGAGCGCCACGAGCGGGCGCACGCGCCAGTCCGCGCGCGAGTAGCAGCCCAGCAGGCCCGTGTTGCGCACGCCCACCACGTTGTTGCAGTTCAGGTCCACGTGCAGCCCGTGGCGCGCGTCGCGCAGCTTCAGGATGGGCACCTTGGCCGGGATCAGCTCGGCGCCCGGGTCCAGGCCGCGCAGGTAGCCCAGCACGTGGCTCAGGTGCAGCAGCGCGTGCGCGCGCGGCTCCACGTGCGCCAGCGCGCGCACGTACAGGCACAGGTCCATGTCCGAGCTGTCCAGCGCGAACCCCGACATCGTCGACCCCACCACGTACAGCCCGTAGCGCGGGAAGATGGACTGCGGAAGCGCCCCCTTCAATGCCCACTCTACTCCCCTCTGTTATTCGACACATATATATCATCGTTACACAAACCTTGATAGTTATGTACAGGTAGCGCCACAAATTCATCTTTTTCCTAAACGTCTCCTCGGTTTGCTGCGACTTAATGAATTTATCCCAGATTTCTTGCGACAGCGTGTCCCATTTCGACCCTGAGGAGAACACGAGATAATCAAAAAGAAATTCAGCCTTCATTCTTAAAACCTGTACAATACATAAATGTCGTTATTACTACAAGTATTATATTTCAACTCTGTCTCAAAGGCAATACCTAAAACGTACAGTCAGTTCCAACACATAGCAGTCAAGAGATAACAGTTGACTCACCATTTAGCAAATCGTCGGGCGTGAATTTGACCTGGAATGGATATGTGGCGTTGAGAAATCTCTCCGGGGCAATCCTCCGGGGGCGGAGCTCCCTCCTGGGGCGGGCGCGCCACTCGCGCTGCTGCAGCTGCATGGGGGGCGTCGCGCTCGCGGAGGGCGCAGCGCTGCGCTCCGACCGGGAGCTGCTCTCGCCTGATCGAACAAAACCCTAACGTCACCGTCGCATTCAATAACACACACATATTGTTTAAGAATTAGCTGACCTCAAAGCAATTTAATTTGTGGCTTTGTATTGTAAGGTTGTATGTTGCAATCATTTTTATTCATTTATTTAAATATCTATAAATCTCTTGTTCTCCATCTAGCTTCTGAATTGAAGTAGATACATATTTTAATGTTCAATCTTAAGTGCAAAAATTAGCACTATAAACAATTTAAATTTCTAGATAAACTAGTTCCAATCAGGGATGAAAGTGGTCTCATAGTTAAATGGCATTTTTAAGGCATTAAAAGTAACAGCCTATATACATCCTCCTGCTGAACAAAAGCCTCCTTTGTACAGATTGCATGGTCATGGTCATGGGCATTAGAGCATGATCCAACCACCAACCCCACTGCAGATTGGCAGACATCTATCATCAAATTCTTTATATTTTCATAAGCTTTGTATTATTTTGAAAATATGCATTACATTGGTGCCAGCACCAGGGATCGAAGTCAGGTTGCTCGAGGTTATTATATTAAAAGCAAGTGCCTAGACCAAGAGCTATCATGGCTACAATTCAATGCACTATTGACATAAAAAATAAATTTTTATAAATCTTCATATAGTTCCCACTATCAGAATTAGATATCAAACATTTTTGATGTGGTAGGGCTACACAACAGTCTTTGTTGCTGCACAAATTGAGTAAGTACTTCGCACATTTTACTTAAAAGTGGCAATGCACCTGCAACCCTATAGGTGGCGTTTGCTTGCCTCTTGCTTGCTTTCATATAAATCATCATGCATCAACGCTTATCGCATAAAACAACTTTAAAAGTATTAATAACAAACAACTGGGAACTGTGTGTAACCAAACCTACAACCAGCTATGCCATATATTATACAGCAACTATGCAAAATTACAATGTTAACATAACTATTCTATTTACATTTACCTTCAATGTTGTTGTGAAAACAGAATATTGAAGAAGCTCATATAATTAATGTGATTTCATGAAAATAATTGTTAAATTATTCAAGTGTATATTTCAATTCCGATAAACTATTTTTATTACCCAAAAATTTTATATACATATATAAGAAATTCATGTAAAGCATTTTTGCAAGGAACTGTGTAATTGTCTTTCACGTAAGATGTTGATATCAATGTCAACCTGATTGGCATAATGGTTATTGAACCTGTGTCTTGCCTCAGTCTGTGGGTGCAATCCCAACTACTAGAAAAATTGGTGGTGCAGTATTTTTCTTAAAACACTATAAATACTTTTCTTTTACAAAAGAAAAATATTTTCTACTAAAATATTGAAAAATATTTTCTACTGTTTAGTTCGGTTTTCTACACAAGTGTGTTCTTTAGTTTTTTTTCTAAACTATTATTTATTTTTTAGTTCTGCTAAGTATAAAAGTGTGTTATTTATGATTTAAATTTTTTTTAAATGTGTACTTGGCACAAAGACACTACCGGGTACCGGATTTGGAAATATACAGTATCCTGAAAGTCCAGATCAGGAAAATAGGAAAAACATAATATTCAAATTATTGCATTGTCATTGTGGGTCTTTGGTGTGCAGTTTGATTAAAATCTGATCATTCAAAGTGGGGCGAAATTACATTTAAAGATTCGGTTTCATTGGGTTTAATCAAATTGAACAAAGTACTAGACAGAATTTCCTTAGTTAATTCTGAATTAAATGTACATAAAAAAAAGTCTTGTTCAGTAGCGATGTTAAGAGTCAATCCATTGTCTACTTTTTGAGTTTTATGGACACAAATATACAGAAGTCTAATTTTTATTTACAAAGATATTTCCATTGAAAAAAGAATAAAAAAAATCAAAATGATTTAGTGCAGAAACCACATTTGAAAATGAGTTAGTTTTTTTATTTTTTAATATTTAGTTTATTTATTATAATGTATAAAATAAATAAAATTTCTCATTTCATCTCAAAAATTGTTTTAATAATTTGAAGAAATGAGAAACATTAAAGACTGCATCAACAGCTTTTTGAGATAATGAGGGTATATACACATTGGTGGAACAATAATCTTCTAGAAAAAAATCATGTGTACCTTTTTCGCTGGACTTGTTTGATCCGGAGGCATTGCTAGACAGGCTAGAATCATCAGAGTCGTAGCCAAAAGCAGTATTGTCCTTATTATTTTGCTGGCGGTCACGGCGTGCTTGCCATCGCCGAGGCGTGCATTGGCCGGGATCGCCACTATCGCGCCCAGCACCACCCAACACTTGGAGCATGTCCATGGGATATTGGCGAGTTCTGTCGATTTGACCAGGGACCATATACACTGCTCCCCCGTAGCCGTTCCCATGGTACATTATGGGCGCACCTTCGTTCATATCCGCTGCCTGTGCTTAAATATTACGATTAGCGCATAAAAATTAACCAATTGTACTATATAAAATTTTACATCAAGAATACCAACCTGTAACTCAATCGCTCCAAACTGTGACGTCTCTATTACCTATTGCGTCATGCTAAGCGTAATAAATATAATAGTGCGACTCTGGGTTAAAAAATTCTTGAACATTTACTGTACCACAGAATTAAGAATTGCACGACGTTAATAATTTTCGGTTGATGGTATGTCACAGTCAGGCGTGTGTGTTTCTGGGCTCTCACTATGCAAAACAGGATGGGCTTTAAATATTCAGGCACGGACAATAATAAATCTACCCACGAATTATGAATAAATCGCAAAATTATTAGAACTATTCCGCCATGACTTTAAGAAGCAGCGCCTAGCGACATCTGACGGATTTCGCCTCAGTGTACACGTGATTATCTCATTTTTTCAGTTCAAATTTTTGTGTTCCATTCAAGGCCAGATGTAATTTTCTAAGTTTGTAAAGGGTAACATGCAAGTATATTTACAGAAGGTTGTAATCCATTAACTTTTAATAAGGTTTGTTATTTATTCATACAATACATATAAAATGAGTTTTTTTAGACAAAAGAAATTAACAGTTCAAAATCACATGACATGTTAAATAAATTACGGCAACACAGCAGGCAACTGACATTGAATGTCATATGGGATTGTCATTTGTCATTACAGTACAGGTAGAAAAGCAAAAGCAGTCAAAAATCACTTCTTTGATAATTAATTGTTATTGCATGTTTGTTTAAAATTATCTTCAGTGGATATGGAATCTATTAAGAAGTTGAATAATTTGTCTTTCGGGTAATAGTTAAACAAATTAATTAAGTGATGACGTCGAAGGAAAATAAAGTAACCTTAAAAGTGCAAAAAGTGTACAGAAACAAACTTTGTCGTCTCATTGTTTGATTTTTATCGCTATCTCCGAAGTGGAGACGGTTTTGATATGTCACATTTCGGGGATTTTATGGACGGTGTCCCCGTTAAAATTTCCGAAAAATACAAGAGACCACCAAAAATTGAGTTGCCTTATAATGTAAATGAATGTCCACAGCGAGCGCAAAATGTTGTCGATAGCATCAAATATTGTTCTACTTTTGAACGTAACGTGCTTTCTAAACTCAAAGAGCTTCGGAGCGCGAAAGAAACGAAAAAAAATGAAAGGAGGCACCGTTTGCAATTGTTAGAAGAGGCAAAGCAAAAAAAGTTAGACGCAATCGCCGCCGCTGAGGCTGAAGAACGGTTGAAACAGTTAAGTGTATCTGAAGTGTCCTATCCCAGTACAGATGAGATAAGTGCTATTTCTTCTGATGAGAAATTAGATAAAAACTGTGAAACATCACCAGTTGACGATACCACTCTTGATGCTGATAAAGCTACAACTGTAGAGCAATATGTAAACAATGCACAAGAGTCTCAGCAAAATATTCTCCAGCCTGTTCAAGTGCAAACAAGTTATCAGCAGAGCCTTTTAGATGACCCTGACCCATTGCAAGAATTTAAAATGAATTCAAAAATTGGCAAAATACCTCAGTACAATCACAATGTCGACATGTTAACATTTAGAGACTTTGAACAAGATACTTCAAGTCCATTTGATACCGTTGAGTTGAAGACAATCAATGATATGGAGTTGCTAGCGCAGGTTTTACAAAGGGATTCCACAACACACTGCCCTGTACAAAGCATGTACGTCCCTGACCAAACCTATCCAGGCTACACTAACTGTGCGACCCAAGCACAGATAGAAGGTGTTACATATTTACCCAGTTCTTATATAGAACAAACAATTCAAGGCCCCACTGCATATACCTCTCCACAAAACTACTCTAATGGATATTATATTGCCCCTGAAAATGTCTGTGATAACATGCCATTGGAAAATGTAAATATGTACATGCCAAATTATCAGTACTTTGTGCCTACACAGCCAGTTCCTGCTCCAGATATGTATTATGGCAGCCCATTACCTACTTCGAGTGGTGAAGTAAATCAAATTAATAGTGATCCAACATTCATCCCCCAGCCCTATTACTTTCAGTATCCACAAGCCCCCATCCAGTACACAAATTCAAATGCAAATTATAATCCAACAGAAGTATTTGATAAACCAGCAGAAGATCAAATTACTTCTTCAGCATCCGCAAACACCATTAAATCTCGTTCTCGAAGCGTACCAGATATAGTTAGAGAATTAAATGAAGAGCTGGCGTCTGCTAAATTAAGAGCCAGTGAAAGGTCTTGCAATGCAAGTCCGGCACCTAAGGTGGTGCACCCCTCGAGTTGTGAGAAAAAAAAAGAAAAGAGAAGAAAGAAAAGTGAGCAATTGCCAAATCCGTATGATAAATTTCCACCTCCTTTACAAAGTATTTGCCAGAAAATACATGGAATGGGTTTCCCATTGGACAGGGTAGCGAGAGTTTGCAGTTTGGTTGGAGATAATGATAAAAAGGTAAATTAAAATATCTTTATCTGCAGTAGGGCCATGCAAGAGCTTTTGGTGTTGCAGGAATGGACATGCTCGTCCGGAGGAATACCTTGGCCTTAGAAGACCGTCATGAAGTGGAAGTATTAAACTTTTGCATTTCGTCTGGTGAGTGAGGTAACCGGGGCCCTTATTTTTAAAGGTTGTCAACGCATCAGCAAGCCATCGGGTATTGTAGATTTCCATGGGCGGCAGGTATTCATTTAACATCAGGTGAACCACCTGCTATCCTGACAACTTTTTGCATAAAAAAAATATATATTTAATTGTTTTTGTTTCTACAAAGTTATTACGTTAGGTTAGTTAAAACATAAAACGTAAATGAAACATAACTAAAATGCTCCAAACAAATTTAATCCTTACAATGAGCAGCCTCATTTTAAATAAATTACTTGTCTACTTTGATATTTAAGCTAGCCATTATACAGGGTGGCTTTTCTAAGTGTATCCATTTTTTTAAATTAAATTCTAGACATAAATAATGTTTATAAAAAGTGATAAATATTTAAAATCACTCTTAAGTAGTTAATTACATTCATTTGGAACTTATCTCAAAAAGTGCATGATTTATGGGCAACTCATTTACTATACGCGCGATCATTCATAACTAACACGCACACAAGTTCGTGCATAGTAAAATTTAGGTATTTATGAATGACTACCGCATTGTCAACACGTTCTGATTTTAGGGAGTAGAATGGCATTTTTCTTTTTGAAAAAAAAACTGTTTTTTATTTCAATAAACGATTATACTACCGAGTCTGAACCTCCTGTGTAAATTTGGGCACTTCTCAAAAAATCTCCCTGTATATGAAGTAATGAACAGAAAGTCATAGAACATAAGCATACAGCATAAATTTTTAGCTGACCAATGTTTTAATATATTTTTAAATAAATTGAATAGTAATGGGTAAAAAAAACATTGTGAATAAATAGAAGATTACCTTATTTTAAAAAGCGTTCAAAATTTTTTTTCAAATGAAATGTTTTAATAGATCCTAATATTTACAACATTAAATCTAAATTACATATTATCCAATGAATCTAGTCCACGCTTTGAACGAGAAAGAACCAGCCCCAGCATTAAGCCTAGGAGGTAAACCTTTCAAAAATTCGATGTACGGTGGGGTTCCCGTACATCCGTGGGATAATGGAACCAAAGTTTCACTCGACCAAACTTTCAACAGCCAATATGGCACAAATACATAATCTTAACAAAGAGAGAGAGAATTATGTGACTCACTTACGCCGCCCCGGCCCTGACCGAAGTACCCCTTAGATGAGCCGCTGCCAAAGGGCACAAGCGGACACAAGCACCATCCCAAACGAGGGCTTTGCCTTTCTCCCAAAGGATCAAAGTCAAGCCGACGGGTCTCTTACCATCGTCGTTATCTCTTGCCATCATCAAAATGCCACAGGGCTCTAAAACAGAAGGAACATTGACGGAAACAAGATCCCTACTGTTCAGGGAAGAGTGGCGGGAAAAGCAGCCAGCACGTTTTTGACAAGTTTCGTTTTTTATTTCCCCAATTATTGACCTCAATGACGTAGTTAGAGACCTTTCTCTCTCAACAAGTAAGAAATATAAGTAAGAAATTGCTGTTTCCGTTTACGAAGTCCAATAAAACAAAAAGCCGATCGCTTCTCCGATTCAATAGTGTAGAGATGTCCCAAGACAATCTCGCCGTGACGATATAAGCTACATCACTGTGTCTCCATCCTTTATTATCGATATTTTCATCAATCCTACAAAGATGAAGCATTTCTTTGTACCCATAGATTGTTTATTATCTAATCATCTTTAAGGGAAAGGTGTCTATCAAGTCATGAGCTCTTTATCTTTCATTTTCTGCCTCTACTTGAGCAATTCCAATGACTTCCATATGAAACTTACTACACACTTTTTATAAACGGTACTGGGCTAAATTATACGGATAAACTTTCAAGTCGAATTACTATTCAAAGAGGGATTGATTTACAAATATCTAAGATGAGAACTTTCTACATGAAAATCACATTTTAATTTTCATCCTTCGACATGTTAGAAAATCCCACTAGGACATGTGCACGCGCTGCACTATGCAAAATTTTCAAATTTCAGTCAATCCACGGAGACTAGCATTTTAGAGGAACCTATGACCTAACAGCTTTACTTTGACTCTGGGCTGAAAACGAAAACATCATCGAATAAAGACGAGGAGAGTCTGAAGCGAACAATTACTCCATGGTATTTACCACCTAAAGCCAATCGTCTCTTACCATCATTTAATAATGGTCAACTACTAGTGAGTAACTTGCAGAAAAGGTCGACGTGTCGAATTCTTAAACGACACTCTCATAGATTGATTACGTTGTCCATCAGGACGTGCGCCCGTCGCAACTCTTTAATACCATTAACGTCTGTGACGTTAATATCACTTCGACTTATTTTAGTCCAATTAGGAGGATGGCGAGATTCATGGCCGTTTTAATATTCTGCTCGCTGAGCTTTTTAGCCTGAGTATTATATATCTGCGTATACGCCGTTGGCGTCTTTCGTAATGTTTCCTCGGTGACGATATATTTGTATAGTTCGATGAAAGCATCTGTTATAAGTTTATATATTTCGTTATAAAAAACATTTTTTTGAATAATTACATTTTTGAAAATAAATAAAATATAGCAGTGAAGGTAGTAAGTTTAACACAAGATTAAAAACTTACCATGAAACTTTAACTACGATATCATTAGATATCTTTTATTTATGATCGCTGACTATACAGAAATATATGCCTTTTTTACGTAGGAAAAATCCTTTATGGATCCCCCGCCGCCTTGTAGGTAGGCAGCATGGGTATGTGGGAGTTACACGTACCCACTAAAAAACCCACGTTGCACCTGCGCTGTCGCTTTACCGGGGACACGGGAACACGAAAACGCAATCTTCCGCGAACCCCAGTGCGACTGTGGCCTTCTCAGGCCTCCTCTCCCCGGGTGTCACCCGGTCCAGCCAAATGGTGCCGTGTCGGTGCAATGAATATGGCACCCCTCTCAAGCCCTCCACGGGGAGAGAGAAATATATGCCTACGTCAAGTAACCTAAACATATTGCCATTAACTGATAACTACGGTGGTAGGACCACGGAACACTGTTGCACGAATGGACAGGTCCGTCCGGGTAAGTACCACGACCTCACACAAGATCGGCGTAAAGTAGAAGTGTTACATTTCTGCTTTTCATTTGGTGAGTGAGGTAGCCGGGGCCCACTTTGTTTAAAGGTGGCAACGCATTTGCAACCCTACGGGTGTTGCAAATGTCCATGGGCGGCGGTTATCACTTAACAACAGCTGAACCGCCAACTCGTTTTCCAATTTCTCACATAAAAAAAACACTACTCGTACCCAAAAAAAAAAACACGAGTTTCTTTACAAATTTCTGACCGACGAGATGGTCGTTCCAACTCAATTATGAGGCCAACGGCCGTTTTTTTTACCGATTCCAGATCATCGAGAGCCTGCTGATCCTCGGCGAGCTGATGGACCTCGGTTTCTCGGAGGGGAAGGCCTCGGCGGCCCTCGCGAGGCACGAGTTCAACAGAGACAAGGCGCTGGACGAGCTGGTATCCTAACGAGCCCCTTTCCGCGGGAAGCGATTGCCGATAAAAGGGCACATTGCTCTGTGCCACCCCGAATCTATGAATTCAAAGGTTGAAGTGAAAATGTAGACTTCGCCAATGTCGAGTAGAAAATAATCTAGATTATGCCGAGTCTTGCTAAACGCAACTAGCCTGGTACGCTGCCGGCACTCGTATGAAACTAGAGCGAGAACTCTATCAGCCCTGTGCGGCGCCGATGATGGTTTTCAAGGTTCGTTATAGAAATGCGAAAGAGAAGTTGGTGTGATTTAAAAAATTGATTTTGATGCGAGGTGACAGACTTTTGGGTGCGTTCTGAAAATGAGCTGTATAGTTTGTTAAAGGTTAGGTATAAAAAAAAATTGAAAACAAAAGCAAACAAAATTTACGTAAACTATCGGTCTTGCATGTTTAGTTTTTTTTTTCTAAAGTAAAAATCTTTTTCTGTTACGAGTCTAATCATCACGTTCTATTACTTGTCTTCGATTTTAAACTATCTGCCTCAAATATCGCAATATTTCAGAAAGAATTTCTGATGTTTACTTTTAGTCGACCGTTAAATAGGTATTTTTATTTTTGTAACTTATGAATATAAAAATTAATTTCGAACCATATTTATAATTCTTAAATACAACGTAAATTATTGTGACAATTACGTTTATGTACATATTTCTAAATATTAATTGTAAGAACTATTAGATCACATGGGATATTCATCTTTAAGAACTAAATGGTGCAAAGAAGCATTAGTCTATTTCAGCAGTGTTGATTTCACCTTCAAATAAGTTCATTATATAATATGTAATGTGGTATCAAAATTAGTAATTTAACAAAAATCAATATTTTGTAATGATTACATAATTATGTTATCTCTATTCTATACTGCTTTTATTGGTCTCAGCGTATATTTTATATAACTTGTTCATAAATACTTACTTTTTATTATTACAACGTTTTCCTTATTATTTATTGCGTCTCTTACATGGTAACACTTATTGCTTAAATAAATTGCTTCTTCATCTAGATTATAGAGTATAGAGGTGAGCAGAAGTATTTCAATAGTTTAGAAAGTGTCCCAATAATAGAATACTCTTGAGATAGCGCTAAGAAACGAAAACGCCAAAAATTTTTAGAACAGGACAAAAATGATGGGAGGCATCTGCCTCTGCCTTTATTGAACGGATATCTATCTAGTTTTTTTAGCGCGTTTTTTTAGTAACAAATAAAAAAAATGTTTGAAGATTAAGTTTTTAAGAGAAAAGCTTGAATTATTACAATCCATAATTATAACACATTTCCTTTAGCATACATACTTCACATCATCTACTACCATTACTTCCAGGTCTTACTTAGTAAACAATATTAGTGCCATTTTTGGATTCTGATGAGTCCGTGGCGCAGTTACCATGGTATTGACTTCGGTGTAGGGTGTCATGGATTCGATTCCCAATCGGGACAACTATTTGTGTGACCTACAGATTATTGTTTCGGATATGGATGTGTCGATGTGAAGTTTTTGTTTGCAAAATGTCCTTACAACACAGGATAATGTACAGTAAAGGAAATGTTGTGTAAAAAATATAAACAAAAAAAGAACTTGCCATTTATTGGTTATAATCTACCTCTAATAATAAACCTCTAATTATAAACATTTTGGTGGTTACGGTTAAAACACATATAGATATACATAGATACTTCTCCTTATTTCTATACTCTATAATTAAGTTCCCCTTTATATTTTAGTTACACATATATTATTATATTGCAAAAATTATTATTGCCGTTTTATTATAAGATGAAAATCTCTATAGAATTTTTAGAATGATATCTTGCGTCATATCTGTCGAAATAACATAATTGTAATCTAGGTATATCCTCCGCCATGTTGACTTAAATATAATTCTAAAGAAGTCTAATATGCTCCTTCGTTGTTTATCAGAACGATTCTGAAGTCTATAATTGAGCTATCAAAATCAACAAGTTTTGTTAATGTATATATGACATTCCACGGTCTTTTATGACAATCAGCTGTTTCGTATTAGGATGTTAGTGACGACCACGCTTGAAGATTTCCCCTTCGAACTGCCTTCTTAGATGATAATGTATTGTTTATAAGAGCGACAGGGACACGATCATGGTCGCAGAGTTATTGCCAATTAATTCCTTGCGATATGGTCCGTTGCAAAGTTTTTTGGTATAACAGCGCCTAGATGTCGTCACTGTCGTCTGTCTTCATCTTGAATGGCCATTTTGAATGGCGCGGCATCTTGAATTGTAAAGGATATCGGCTTAAACTAAGCCGAAGGAATCGTGTCGTATTAAGTCGTTAAATACGACACGATGATTTCCGTTCCGAATCATTTTGCCCTTTTTTTGCTTGAAATATGACATGACATGGAATGGAAGCAGATGAGGGGTCGTTTCTGTGGCAAATTTTACTGTGAAAGGTTAAAACTTACAATGAATGAAAAATACTACTTTTGATTGTAAATGGAGATTATCTTGATACGCATTTACGTAAAATGTACAGATGTAATGTTAGCCATAATAATGATTTTGGCTCAGTAACATCCTGTATAATAATTTGATAGCTGATGAGATTTTAATGAGCATTTTAATTAATTATCCTCGAAGTTAATGTTGGAGATAGTACATGCAAAGGAACTTTATTGGCAATGAACTGTATTCATCATTATTTCGAAATGTTAATGAATTATTGTACATATAAAACAACTAGTGTGTTCTACAACTATTTTCATACTCTTCTTAATTTCTTGTCGTTCTATTGGTTGTTTTGAGAATTTTCGTGTACTAAGTGATATAAGTACTTTAATTGTTGTTGGATGTTCACAGAATTTAAATGTATAAATGTGCTTAAATTTTCAAAGTAGAGAGTAAATATTTTATATATTGAATAAATTTCGCGAGGTTAGGTCCATGCGAATATAGATTATATTATATTAAAAAATAATAATAATATAATGAGCTGTGCAATTAGTTTTAATTATTTCAATTCGTCCATTAAATGTTTTCAGTCATTCTGAATCCTTAAATTTGAAAATGATTACGGATCAAAGATAAAAGTATTTTGTCGAAGACTTTTGGTATTTTTTGTTATCCTGGATGCAGTTTTGCCTTACAGTTTCTATAAAGGAGAAAATATTATCCAAATCGAAAAGAATTCCAAAATAAAATTTATAAACACACGACAAATTAACAAAATTTATAAAAACAGCAAGTATCAATGCTTATTTGTTATGTTAAATAACAATATGTTATGACCAATTTTTTTCTGATCGAACTCTTAAATGTAAAAACTGAAAGGCTGAAACTGAACTCGAAGATATTTGATTTCTACCATTGCTTTTGTGCTTGTCAAATAAAAAGCTATAGACAATATAAGTTTTTTGTTTTACTCTATAACTTTTTGTACACGTGGAAGAGATGAATAGATAAATTAAAGTGAGGGCAATGTTTTTCAAAAAAAAATTCTATTGTGTAGTGTCTAGTGTCTAAGGGGATAGAAGAACGCGAGTATGTTCGAGGTGATTCTACAATCACATTATCGAATCGAATTCTCGATAAGAGAAATCCTCTTTTCTTGTATCGTTTACCGTCGCCCATGAATATTACAATAACATCATTATTCCACTGATAGACATAGACCACACCGGGGGGAATCTTTTATTTATCTGACAGGAGGGGGCCAGTCCAAGAAGACCCAGGCAGGCTTGTGCTCAAAATCGCGGAGGGTAGTTTTAAATAAACTTAATTAGCATAAGAATCTATGTTTTAAAAAGTTCCTTTTGGTAAATAAACGGTTACTGTAAACAAAACATCAATTATTTCACAATAGACAGGGTAACACAAATAAGTGAGGGCACAAAAGGTCTTCGTTATCTCACACTAGATGGCGCCGAGACAAGACGTCGAGATTATCACTCGATCGATTGTCTAGCTTAGTTGTTAGAGCGTCTGGACGTTATCCTGAAAGCATAGGTTCAAATCTCGGCAAAGACTAGCAATAAATATTGATAATAAATAATGTCTCCTATTTGTTGTTTTGGGTTATTTCAGAAATGGTGTTTCGAGATGTCTATAAGTTTAATGCATTGCCGGCATCGCCGTAAGAGGCCTCCGACCACATGGCAGACGGGATATGTTTTCTCTCTCTCTCTTTTTTTCAAAACGTTGCCATTACTGTAGGATAACATTATCCTGTGTCGTAAGAATGTTTCACAAACATAAATTTGACGTGGAATACCACCCAAATCCGAAACAATTATCTGTGTGTCACACAAATATTTTGTGAATCGAACCCACGACACCCGGTGCCGAAGCCAATACCTTGACAATTGAGCTGCGGAGTCATTTCTGTGTCGAATCAATGTGGGAAAGTTTATTCATTTAATATAAGATGTGCGAATGTTATTCGACAAAACCCTTTGTTAGCATTCGAATGTTGACAACCGTTCACACATCGTAAATATCGGAGCTACCATTCCGAATGATCAGTTCGTGACAATATGTAATATCAGTACACACGGAATATTCATAGCCAGATATTATCGCCGTAACAACTTTAGAATATGAAATAAGTATTTGTGTCCTTATTTCTTTAAAGGTAGAGGGAGACAGCTACATCAATCTTCTTTTCACCAAGCTTATCAACGCTTATGTAAGGTCTCCCAAAAGTGACAGATGATGCTTTTTGTCTTCTGCGATTATGTAATAAGTAGTATAAAAGAAATAATATAAAAACACGAGAATTTTTCCTAATTTCTGCTGAACCCGATGGAACGGAAACTTTTTTCTTAACGTGAAATGGTGACAAGCGCGTTACTTTTTAATAAAGTGGGCCTAGGTTACCTCACTCACCAGAAGAAACGCACAGTGTAACACTTCCACTTCACGCCGGTCTTCTGTGAGGTCGTGGTACTTCCCCGGACGGGCCTGCTCATTCGTGCCACAGCGAACTGTTGCGTGGCCTA